TTTGTTATAAAACTCGCCCCAAACAGCATGTGTCATGCGATATTTGTCAAAATATTTCTTATACAAAAGTAGGCGGATATAGCGACGGTCCTGGGCAGTCCGATCTTCTAATCTTTCGTCAGTTTGTTTTGTGATTGTAACTTCGATGCATACGGACCCAATTCTCGAAGTGTAATGGTGGTTTTTGCTCTGTATCTGAAGGTGGGTGACGCTAGCTTTTTGGTGTTGCTATAATTTTTGATAATTAAGTGTGTTCTGTGCCTTTAACAATCATTTCAAATTTGATATGAGTGCGCAGTTAAGTAGAAAAGAAATTTTCAAGTCTTTATTGATCTCTAATGGACGTGGATAAGATCTTAATAGTGTCATCATTCGCGAGAAGGCTGTTGGGTGGTACTCTTCCACGCTGTTTAATTCCAGTTTGCTTTGATTTCTGTCTATGGCGTGAAATCGTGGTCAGTTGAAGCTCCACTTATATTGATCTGCAGTTTTATGTCTTGGTTATTCGGTCCCTTCTATTCAGTTTTCCTTCGCAAGATATTTTTAAACTGTATTTCTTGCCTCGAAAAACTTTCGAAAACGAGTTCATATCAAATTATTTTTAAGTATAATTTCTAACTTGATGTTTAAAAAAGTTGTAAGGCAGGCGGGGTGTCGCCAAGGAAACTTCATTGATGTACATATGTTTGGGAGATCTTAGTCGGTTTAATATATTCTAGAATTCCGATGAAAATTGTGATAAATAACTAGAATTTTCTGAGTTACAGTTTAAAACTGCATTAAACTAACAATTTTGCTCTAGGAGGGGTTAACACGTCACTTGAGTACCGGAAAAAAAACGTCACCTATCGAAAAAGGCACAGCAAAAGCTACAGAGAAACTCCTGAACAACAACAAAAATAATTTCTGCTCCGTTAAGAGAATTTTGTATACTTAACGAGAAATAAAACCAAATTATACCCAGAGGCTTGCTGGCCCAGCTCTATAGGTCAACTAAGGCTTTGAGGAGGATAAAACTGATCAAATGTGTTGAAATTAAATTTTTCATCTTTCTTGTTCATTGTCGTCGTTACCTTGTCGAGTCTCCGTTCATTCATTCCGTGGACGAATATCGCCATAATATAACACGTCGCGACGTAAAGTAATATTTTAAGTGTTGTTACAGACATCGCGACATCGATTTCGGAACCTGATATATGACTACTGATTAGAACGTCCGAAATAAACTTAACAAAAAGGCCATATATTCAATCTTAAATGGGAAAAACAAACAAGGCCATCCAGTACTGCATGTGGAAATTCATCCACAATGCAATCACCACATTTAGAGTTTGAGCTTGGAAAAATTTGTGGTACACTAAAGAGATTGGACCACACCTGGGAGAGTACAATAAGGCACCACGGGAAACGGTGGCTTTCATTCAAATGATCACACTTTTATGATTTTATCCACCGACTCAAAAAAGTTAGAACCACCTGATACAGCATAATAAACGGTATCACAGGAAAGTACTGCTCAGTGGCTTTCATTTCAATGGTCACACTTTAGGATTATCCGCAGACTGAAAAATTATAACCACTTTAATTATTTTGTAGCTACTTTGCCGGCACAGCATTTATATTATAAGCATTACCACAGGAAAGTACTCGGCTTACATTTGAATGGTCACACTTTAGGATTTATTCACGAACTCAATAGTTCACCACCTTGTACTGCATAGACTCTGCATAATAAACATTACCACAGTAAAAGACCCGCTATATCTTATTTAAATGGATTTTCCCAGACTATTGAAAAAGCCGTACCCTGCGGTGTTTAAAAAAACCCATAGAGAGTTACGCGGATCAGTAACTTTCATTTGAAGGGCCCGAGCCAATTAGTTCCAAGAATCGAATTTAAAAAAAAGCCAGAATAATGAAAGGCATACAGTACTACGTGAAAGTACTGCTGATAAAGGTTCGTTTGAATGGTTACATGACAGAGTTACGTCTTAAGTCTCGATGGTCTTTTGTAGATACTATTTTTTGTGTTGTCTGCTTGTACAAAGTATGAATGCTCCTTTTCATTGTGGTTTGATTATATTATCGCAATCAACGAGGTTATTGATAAGGAATCATACAACTTTTGTCCTCAGTTATTTTAAGCTTGGCATTGTTAAGGGGCGCCTGAAAGACCGACTGCTTAATGAAAATTGAAAATTAATGTGGAATCAATTACGACTTTTTTTAACTGCCCACTTTAAAAACTCACGCAACTGTAAGACCAAACTTATTCATGTCTCACGAGAAGAAAAGTAAGTAAATATACAAACATCTAGATAAATAAATAAATAAATAAATAAATAAACAACGTATGTTTATTCGGCTTTATCTTACTTTATCTTTCTCTTCAGTTATTTACTGTGAGGACAAGTAGCATATGTAATGTAAACCTCTAACTTTTTAGTCTGCCGGGTATAAAATCCTAGACAGCTAAAACTCCGTATCAGATGTATTCCGGCCCCAGCTCTACTGTTTAATGGTACTATTGTTAAATGCCTACTTTCACTATGGATAGGGTTGCCCTTCCACAAAACAAGACGGTCGTGGAGATAGCCTTTCCTTCTACTTCTTTTTGTTTGTTTGTTTTTTTCATCACCCAGATGTCTGCGCAACTCTGCAAAAGTAGATAGCATTTGGAGACACTGATCCAGCTATTCTTTTCTAAAAGTGATGTGAAAGGTGTTAAATCACATCAGTCTACGCATCACCTGTCATGGCTTTGCTCTGTTTGATTTCATGTTTAAGAACCTCTCTTCTTAGATATCAAGTTATGTTTGAAATTGCGAGAAAAAATGTAATAACGGCAGCTGTCACTGAAAACCGGTAGTCGTAAGGTTTCCCTCGTGACATAATAATCCGAGAGTTTTTTTCAAGTTTCCGGGGGGGGGAGGCGTCTGTACACAGGCTACCCTGAGGGGCATATGGCAGAAAAAGTTGAGCTGCCCGTTTTCGTGTTCCCGCCGAGGCTGTGCAACCTCGTATCCAGGGCTTTTCTCTTAGAATCAGGGTGGATGGGTTATAGGAAATGACCTGGTTCATAAGAAAGATTGAACACACCATGTAAACAGCCCAAGGTGTCAAAAATTACCCATCTCAAGGCACCGCTTTTTTTTCTTCTTACAAGCATAGTATTTAGTTGAATATAGACGCTAATAGGCGTCTACATAGTGTGAACATTCAAAAGAAAGCTTTTGATCTGTAAGTTTCTGTAGTGCATAAGGCGCTGTAATTTTTGAGTTCGTGAATGGAGTAAAGAATTCCACGTTTACTATCCCTTTAATAGAATCAGGAAGCTTGAGAGCCAATCCGTTTTCTTAATCTTAAAAGTCAGAAAACTAATAACTAACAGCAAATGATTTTTGATTTTCAGAAAACAGAAATAGAAAATAGCAATCGTAAATCAAATATCAGAACTTCTCCCATTAGAAATCAGAAAATAGTCCAGTTTCGAATTAAAAATTACCGCTGAATACAAACATTAACGACACATTCACACAGGGTTAGCCTCGACGTAAAGTAAAATATTCAGAAATTCCGGCAGGTAAGTGCTTGAAATTTGAATTTACACAATAGACAGAGTAATAAACAGATCTTTTTCTCGTTGGAATTTGTGAATATATTACTTCAGATGGAGGCTAAGGCTGTAAAAAATGCGTCTTCACTTCTTCAATTCAGCGGTCATAGCGAACTCGAAACTGGACTATTGGGAACTGGAAACTGAAATTAGGAGTTAGATATCACCCCCAGATTTTAGAAATGAGAAATGAGAAAACTAAAAACTGAAAGTAGAAATCAGAAATTAGCAATCAGAAATAATCAGAAATCAGATTATAGAAAATCAAGAAACTGAAAATTGCCGAAAGCAGAAAGCAAAAGTTTGCTAGTTTTTTTTATTATTATTTTAATAGTCTTTTATGGCGGTCGTTATTTGGGCTATCATGAAAGTAGAGAACAAACCAGAGAGCTGTTGTCATTTCTTCCCATTTTTAGACTGCGAAAAGTCTCTTTTTTTTTTCTCGACGTTCAAGTCCTGGGGCCCGTTTCTCGAAAGTCCCGATAATCAATGTGCCCGCAAAGCTGTTGTTGTTTTCAAGCAAGATAGAGGTTTCAATAGCTTGGCATTTAACATTAGCCATCAGTTGGGGAAACAAAATGCAGTAGTTTGCTAGCTAGGACCGGTGCTTTTATTCTTTTTATTGAATATTTGATTTCGGGCCCGAAGTGTTACCGGGACTTCACGAGAAAGGGGGCCCTGCGAAGCTCGCGGTCTATCTCCTTTTGAACATGTGTATCTTTCGAGTGTTCGAGCAATTGCAAGTTTCATCACTTGCATGTGCACATTTTTTTCTCATACGATTGTGATTATAGAAAGAGTTTACATGTTTTACGGGGTCTTTGACAAGAGTTTACTGTTATTGCTCCTTCCTTGTAATTCTTAGAAATTACGCACTGCCGTGTCATGTTACGGGTGTTCCTTAACCGGAAGTAAACACTGACTTCTTTATTCCAAAGCGCACGCTTTTTGTTATGATCGTATATGTGTTCGTGAATGAATGTGTGAGGGACCGACATGATGTCACCGTTGATCCCATGCACCTGCTTTTAAAAGGTTTAAGTACAAAAGAGATCAAATTCAAGTCGTCAACTATTATCACGGAAATGCCGCGAACCACAAATTATAATTTCGAACAATTCTTGTTTTATTTTTTTAACTTTTATTTTCACGGTTGATTAATGATCAGAGGAATATGCTCAACAATTAGCCGGAAAAGTCTCGAATGCCTTTCGTTAAAGAGCATTTTTCAAGCGGCTTTTAAGTTACTTAGCGACTTACTCAAACGAAAACTATTTTACCGCAGTGACGTCATCGATCATCTTCCACCCACACCTCCCTGGAAGGGTGCACGTGACCGAAATAGAATGAAGCCAAAGTATTGGTTCCTGATTGGCGGGAATAAATCACGTGGAAGGCCTTAACCACAAAAATTAACTCAATTTATTCATAGCTTCATAACAGAATATAAATGGCAGCCGAAGTTTTGGTCGTTGAGGGACGATTCTCTCGTTATGTTGTAATATTGTAACGTTGGCTAAAGGATTTGGGCGGAATATAGCGCTCACAGAATGAAGGTTACGGTTTGTTTTGATACAGTTTGTGTCATCGTTCCGTGTGGCAATGGCGAGTTGACAGTATCCGAACTCATACAACGCGCGATTTCAAGGTATCGCAAAGCAACTAACAAGGCAAGTCCGAATACTGCTAAGCCTCTATCTTGACATTCAGACATTGGTGTTATGAAAACATCTTTGCTTTTAACTATTCTTTATGTATTCTTGAATGCCGACCTTGCATTTGATATAATTATACCTCGGATTCGCTCACAAGATTTGCCCCAGGGTTGATTAAATTCTCATTTAGTCCCGATATAATTTTACTAGTTCTATTTGCCAGTTTGAATATTCAGACCGTGCTTTACTCATCTTACTATGTATGTTGCTGAATTTACAACTGTTGATTTAATTGATTTCTCGTTTTCTTGGAAACTGCGATCTTGTATTCCATAACTTGCGATTTTCTAGTTCATTTTCCGGCGTCGCCGGATGAGTTATTCGATTCGTATAAATTTACAAATGTTATGTATCCAAGGTTCCTATTAAAGTTTGTATCGAACCGGTAGTTAAAAATAATCAGGTTACAGCAATCAAACCTCTGCATATTTTATTTCAACCTTTCAAATCCAACTTAAGTAAATATAACTAGGGATTACAGCTGCAAATTTTCATGTCGATCCACCAGAACATTCGTCGTCAAAATGTCGACACATGCGAAAAATCATAAATCATTATCAGCATTTAGTCTACAGTTTCCCAAGTTTTCTCATTCCTTTTTTAGACGGGAAATCGTAGTTTTTATTTTATTTCTAAGGTTCCCTTTCTGTGTTGTTCGTTTTTGTTGATAGAGCATATAATCGAGTATCGATCAATCGTACTTGTACAGTCTTCAGTTTGTATATAACTTAAGCTTAAATCACCTTAGCACTGATTCATAATTTTTTTGATAGACACATTGTACAGAAGGTATGTCATTACAAGACACAGTTAAAAGTCCAATTTAATCAAAACATGAGCTTTTCTTCCATTTTCTTCTAGTCTTCCGAGGAACTTATTCAAGTACATTTTTTGGAGACAAATGAAGATCATGGAATACTTGATCCTGACGACGTCCTCTCAGATGTGGTCGACGACAAAGACAAGGTTCTGATTTTTCCTTCTTATTATCTATACTATCTCATATCTACGTCAGTATTTTTCTTTCTTATTAAAGGAGGATTACGCTGAATGTTCCTTGCTTTTTAAATTCTTTAGTTATCATTCCTATTTTTAAATGAAATTTACAACATTGAAATGAACATGAAGTTAATTGTTGTAGCGTGATGCATGATGAGCTTACACCTTACCAATTGTCCAGAAACTATAGCTTGGTACTGCTTTTATTTCTTTGTTGATACGAATTACTATCTGTTCTTCGTTACTGTGGCTTAGGAAGAACAATCTGATGTGCTAAGTAATTTTAGAATGAATGCTCTCAAGAAGATCAGTTTAATGTTTGTTTAGTGAATTTTAAGTATTTTGCCCTCCTGCAAATGTTGTGATCATGAGAAAAATGCAAACGTTTTGTAAACAATGTAAAAAATTGTCATGAAGGCAGATTCCACTATAGCTTCTTTTGCTGCAGTGAGGTCATAAGACAAGTGTTAAAATTGTACCACTAAAATCTCACCTAAAGTTTTTCTTCTGGACAATTTACTTCTTTAATTAGCCAAAATTTGTTTTGAAACGGATATTGTGAAATACCATTGAATGGTGGTAGCTTTGGTAATTTCCATTTTAATAACAAAGTTGTTAATTTGATGAGAAATAGCCACTGACCTGAAACAAATTATAATTTTATATTCTGCCAAAATAATTTATTGTTGAGTATAACTTACTGTTTTCATTGACTACACGTGCAAGGTCAAGTAATGTCCTTATGGTTGGGAATGAAATATTGGCCCATGTTAGAAAGTTATGTGGCAGATATTTGCTTGCTTGTACAGACTGTGGCTCATTCTGTTATTTACGCTTTTGTGTAAAAGCTGTCTGTAGGTGAATTACATTATTGAGTTGAAGATTCAACAACAATGCAACGAAATGCTTTGAACAATATAAACTTGGTCGCACTCACTGACATCTTTGTGAAAAGGACTTCACATTTCATGAAATGACAAAGCTTAAACTAAGGTTTATAATACTGAGAGACACATATTTGCAGTATTTGCAGTGTGCAGTTATCTTCAATTTGATCTGAGCTAGAATGATGCAAGATTACTTTGTATTCATTTCAACTTAAATTTCCATGCATTTGTTTAACATTGCAGACATTAAATAACCACTAGGTCAATGTCCTTTGTTATTGTTGGCTTCTGTTATCTCATTAAAAAAGTGTCTTTTGACAACTTATTTTGAAGGCTATGTTAAGTTGAATATTTCAAATTCTTGCAAGGCTTTATTTTCTCCAAGAAAAATTGTTGCAAGGTCAAATTGTCTGAACTTATGAAATCTAGCTTCTCTGCAGTTTAAACATTTTCTTAAAAAAATAAAGTTTTTCCTGTCCTCCAGAGGCAGGAGTTAGTCACTAGCAGCCATAGGGTGCTTCTCCCTAGAGAGCACATTAGTGATGTATTTGTGGATTATTTTTGGTAATTTAGCCGAAAACTATTAATGGGGTTAGTTTTTTTAAAAGCTACCTAAAAGGGACCAAGTAATGAAAATGTGGTTCTGATTTTAATAGGGACAATGATTTTTGATCTAACTACTCAGAGCAGTTGGAGTCTACTGTCAACTCTCTCTTAACACGGACACCTTTGGGATGGGCACTATGTGTCTGTCCTAGAGAGATGTCCATCTTGTTACACTATGTGTCTGTCTTAGAGAGATGTCCGTCTTGTTACACTATGTGTCTGTCTCAGAGACATGTCTGTCTTGTTACACTATGTGTCTGTCTTAGAGAGATGTCCATCTTGTTACACTGTGTCTGTCTTAGAGATGTCCGTCTTGTTACACTATGTGTCTGTCTCGGAGAGATGTCTGTCTTGTTACACTATGTGTCTGTCTTAGAGAGATGTCCGTCTTGTTACACTATGTGTCTGTCTCAGAGAGATGTCTGTCTTGTTAGACTATGTGTCTGTCTTAGAGAGGTGTCTGTCTTGTTACACTATGTGTCTGTCTTAGAGAGATGTCCATCTTGTTACACTGTGTCTGTCTTCAAAGAGATGTCCGTCTTGTTACACTATGTGTCTGTCTTAGAGAGGTGTCTGTCTTGTTACACTATGTGTCTGTCTCAGAGAGATCTGTCTTGTTACACTATGTGTCTGTCTTCAAAGAGATGTCCGTCTTGTTACACTATGTGTCTGTCTCAGAGAGATGTCTGTCTTGTTACACTATGTGTCTGTCTTAGAGAGATGTCTGTCTTGTTACACTATGTGTCTGTCTCAGAGAGATGTCTGTCTTGTTACACTATGTGTCTGTCTCAGAGAGATGTCTGACTTGTTACACTATGTGTCTGTCTTAGAGAGATGTCCGTCTTGTTACACTATGTGTCTGTCTTAGAGAGATGCCCGTCTTGTTGAGACTCAACTAAGAGGAATAAAGATATGCAGGGACCAACTTTAGGCGTCCATTTTAGCGAAAGGATGTTTGTCTTACAGAGGTGTCTGTTAAGAGAGAGTGACAGGATACCGAAGGGAAAAGTAAATCCTCATTCCTATACAGGGCTGAGCTCTAAGGAAAATGAAAGGGAGCCCAGTGCTCTGAACCTCTGAAATCCAGGGTGCCCAGCATAATTATAATTTGTATGAAAAAGCTAAGATTTTCCAGTTACCCGAGGGCAAAAGTTAGGGGCCAGGGGCCACTGAGCTCTGCTAGAGTGCAGCCTTGCAATGTTTTACTGATAGCTGCATGCTATTAGGTTGCTGTCTGCCGTCAAGAGTATTATTATGAGAACCAAAACATGGCAGACTAGATTCTGGATGGATTTTGCTTAGTGTTTTAAAGGAAGGTGCAGGGGGTTGAGTTTTCTGGGAAGTCACTAAGATTTCAAGTTGCCAGGTACAATAGAACCTCAATATAATGAAGGACCAAGGGACTGGCAAAATACATTTGCCATAACGAGGTTTTGTTACATTGAGGTTCTTTGCTATGTATTTAACTATTGCTAATGCAAAGAATATTATTCGTTATACCGAGGACCTCAGTTTATAAAAGTTTGTGAAAACCTGGTTTCACTGTATGTGCTATTAGTACGCAGGAAATTAAACAGCTAGCAGGTTCTTTTGGTTCTTTTTTTCCTTTTAGCTCCTATGACACTAGCTGGGTGTCATGCTTATGGTAGCTGGGGAAAATCCCCTGTTCCCAGCCTTACAGTGACAACCTTGAAATGTGGCGTGTTCGATGCATGACAGGTCTCAAAAACTGAGTTTGAATTGAGGAATGGTGATGGTGATAATGCATCCCATCCAGACAGCTTGTACCCTCATTTAACTATTCCTTGCTTTTGAACCCAAGACTACAAAATAATGTAGTGGCAAGTAAATGCACATGTTGTAAATACAGGTGAAACCTGTAGTTTAAAAGTAAACATGGACACTCTCTAGTTGGCAATAGCTAAAGTTCCCAAATTTATTTCCATTATTTACTGTAAATGAAATCCTTATTAATTAAACACCTCTATTAAGCATACACGGTCATCTAAAAAGTGGACAAAATGGTAATTTCTATTGTTACAAACCTGTATTGCTTGCATGAGAAAAGTGTTGGTTTTCCTGTGCTGTCTCTAAGGATCATGTTCGTGGAAGTAATATTGTTGCACTTAGGCTTGCAAGGATTCACTTATGCATCACATTAAGTCTTTTCGCCCTGATATGAATATCAATATTTGAACAGGATAAAATTTGGGATCTTGGTTGTGGAGATGAAAAAAAAAAAAGAAATGACTTGAGATGTTTAGAATTTTTTTCTCTTTGTCACTTTTTACTGTGCAAATTGTTTGTTTAATATTTTACATGCAAGTTATGTGGCCAATTTATTTCAATCAGTAATGTTTGCACCTATAACTTATCTTATTTTAACATAGAATAATACTGGAAAATTTTCTGCTGCCATAAAAACCACATATTCATGTTGAAATTGACACATTGTAATCAATATTGTATAACCCTTTGAAGCTCTTTCTACTCTCAATGTTTTATCCAATTTTGTTTGTTTTTCCCTTGATTAATTTTGTATTGGGATTATGAATATGTCTTTTGAATTTGGTTTATTGTAGAGTCTGTGAATGAGATTCTGTGCTCTAATCATTTAAATGACATGTCAATAATAAATCCTATTGTACTGTGTGGGGCTTCTGACAGGGTGCGAGGGTGTGGGACCACACAATTCTGCAGAACACTGAGAAACACGTCAACAATTTCGTGAAAAACATTTTTTACCCTTCATAATCTAGATTTTTAGAACTTTTGGGTGCTTTTCAGATCATTATCTTTCCAAAAACATCATTGTTTTTTGCTTTCTTCAAACAGCTTTGATGAACGGTTTCAAATAGCAACTACATATAGAAAGCGTTCCTTGTAGCTCTGCGCTTTTCATCCATATATCTCAAGAGTAGCGCTTGCAACAGCTGCCAAAAATTAGAAGGATTTGTATGAGAAAAACAACTTTTGCCTCCCAGTCACGCTTGAATTATGGTTTTCCATACAAATCCTTACTGCACTGTACATCATTTCAGTGGCATAAAGTGAGTTACAATGTATAATGCTTTTTGGTTCCTTTTTACATGAGAGGTTATTTTTATGGGATCTGACTTTCAAGACATGGTTGAAAGGCAGCTGTAACAAGAAATTTACAAATAAAAATAAATCTTGCAAAAATTTTTATGCCATACAGTACAACCGTGTTCTTAGCTTTGTTAGGATGTGAAATACCACTACGTTTGGAAGTTTATTAATTTGTTGGTGTTAACTAATTAAATTTTGTGTTATTGCAGTTGCTAGCTGTGTTTCAAGAAGGCTCAACTCTTCACCGGCCAGCGCAAAATGGAGGATACGGCACCAGTGCATCATCAGTGGGGACAGCAAGTCCTGAATTGTCTCCTCGCGAAGATGAAACCACAAAATTTATTGAACAGCCAGTAAAATCATTTGCTCCAGTTAGTAACACTATTGAAAACACTAATGGTGAAGTCAAACATTTCTCCAGACACATGAAAAGTCCTCCGCCCCCTGTGGCTCCAAAACCTGTGAGACCTGTTCGGCAGGTTAAACATATCCTCAGTGCTAGGAGTTCATTTGTAGAGTCTCTTCCTTCGGAAGATTCTGGGATATCTACTCTTGATGATCGTGACAGATATCGAAATAGCTCAGACTCATCAAAGTCTGAAATTAATGACAATGTGTCGGTAAAACCGGCAATTTATAAAAGCAGGACAGGAGAGACTACTTTTGTTGCGATAGGGAGACCTATCAAATCCCCTGTGTATAATGGTAATTTGAATGGAGAAAGGAGGCGATTTTCATCTACCAGTTCTGATCATGCAGATAATGAACACAGTGAAATTGAAGAAGAAACGTTTTCTTTGGGACGGAACTCCACAAGAAAATCAATGTTTGTAGATAGTCCTATGCTGGACAGATGGGCTGAACTGCAGGAGGAAAGAATGTTTGGGGTGAGTTTAAAAAGAATAACATTCCCAAGTTACAGTGGAGGTGCACTGTATTTTTCAGGTTCAATTTTATTGTTGGTCCAAAGGCATTTTATTTGCCTTTGTTTTTGGGTATTGTAATGTAGGAAAATAAACAATCACATAGATTAAGATTAATTGCAACCTCAACACTGCAGTATGTTTTGTATGTCCATGTTACAGGTGAGGTCAAATTTAATTTCAGGTTAATTTTGATTTAAACGAGGTTCATTCTCAATTTCCTTTTTCTCCTGGCCCTAGAAGACAAAGGAAATTGAGAATCAACCTTGGTTAAAAAAATTTAACCTAAAATCAAATTAGACCTGTAACTTATATATGGTCTGGTTGTTGATACAGGGTATCTCAGTAATTTAATCCAATATCCAGCCATCTTGACGAAACAAGCTTGGTCAATAAGGATTATTATTTGGCCAAGAAGAAAACTATTTCTCGCTAGACCAACATGGAAAATCCCAAGTGGGGAAGATATACTGATTTAACCCACTCAGGTAGCCAGTCAGAACACAGGATTTGCTTCCTCTTGCATCTTACAAATTCAGCCATTTAATAAGGTGTTTTGTTAACAGTATTTCTAATATAATAATTATTATTTCTTTTTCATTTATTTTGTAGGTAAATAACCATAGGGGCGAGCCGGTCAGTACTGTAACATCTCCATCAGAGCCAAGCTCTAATGAACCAGTTTTTGATAATCATTATGATGATGGCGATGAACACTCTGAAGCTTCAGAAAGCAGTGGGTAAGAACATCTCACAGTTTAACAATGCAAATAGAGAAATGACAATACATGTACATGAAAAGTGATGGAAATGAAAATGATGATCAATGGTAATGATTATGATGATAATGATAATAACTGTCATAATTAAAAAACGAATTCTGAAAACCCAAATTGGAAAGCAAGTTAGTAAGGGAGTGTTTGATTGATCGCATTCTGGAATAATAATACACAGAAATTGTGACAAACTCGCTTCGCTTTCTCTCCTCTCTCCATGTTATTAATTTTTACCAGATTTCTTGATTTCTCCTGAGAATGAAGACTTGGAAAACAAGTAATTTTTAGAGTTTATCCCATTCATTCTTATTCTGGGAAACAGAATACATTCTCTCATACTAAGTCACCAAGATCTCAAAGTTACCTTATGGAAGGTGAAGTTAAGGTGCACTTATTGCACTGAAAGCTTTTTCATAATTTACTGATTATTGTCTTATGAAAAAGCCTTTATTTCATCTTTATTTTATTGATTAAATTTGTTTCCTTTCGTTTTATTGTGGTGGCTTCAGTGAAGCTGATATGACTATGATAGAATTAAAGAGAGAGGATTCTTCAGAAGGATTGGGCATCACAGTCATGGGATACCGCACAGCTGATGGCAGGTATGTGGCAATGCACTGCCAATAATGCAGGTATCGGTGTTTAAACAGAGAGGAAAGGGGCTTTGAGCATAGGTAGAAAGGGACATTCCCAAGGGTTAGGAATTTGATAAAAAAAAATTCAAATGCCACACCTATGCCCGTTCCCCCCCAACCCTTTCTCTCCGTCCAAACATTGATATCTGCATCAATAAATTAGCTTGTGTGGCAAGTGTGTATTAACAAGTGTGTTTGATGTGTTAAGTGATGAGACAAAAACGGCTGGGTAGGAGACTAGGCACTAACAGATTGTTTCTTTCCTTTTTTGCAACTATTTGCACTTTCACTTTACAATGCAGTTTATCGAAAAATATCATTTAGTACCCATTCAATCTATGTAAAAAGTGAAAAACATGGAGGTCACCATTGAATGTACAACCTCCAGAAGTATATTTCCAATCCACCGCAAAATCAATAAAGGGCAAAATCAATCATGTATTTATTTGGGAGACAAGAGGGTTAACTAAATGTACTTAGGCTACAAGTTCGTGTAAGTATATTCAGGGCTTTTAATGCGTGTGGAAAGCTTTTGTTTGTGTTTAAAAACTTAGCTAAATACCTTGTTTCCAGATGACATTTGATATGTCATTAAAAAATCGATCTTCCTTAGCTGAAGATTTCGTCTCTTTCCTTCTGCCAGTTTTTTTCCAATAGTTGCTAAGTTTACCAGACAAGTGTCATTAAAATAGTCAAATCAATATTTCCTCATACAATTCTTCTCCTTTCAGTATTTTACAAGGCTAAATTTTATAAAGTCACATTCACTTTACAATAATATTTCTCAACCAAATTGGTTACTGGGGCTGGGGTTCCAATGGTTTGATATGCAGACTTTACAGTCTAGTTTCTCCAGTGTTTATTCAAATTATTATAATTTTTTTAAATTCTTTCCCAGGGAACTTGGTCTTATTGTTCGCGACATCACTTCAGATGGTTGTGCAGCAAAAGATGGCAGACTTCAAGTAAGCAATTTTTCAATGACGTTTTTCAACTCACCTTTATTTCTCTACTATCCGCTGCCCTTTCCCCGCCCCCAAGTCCATCGCCTATTTTTTTCTTTTTGCTGTTTCACCCCGTTTTTTGCCTTTTTCCCTACTTTGGAGCGTGGTCCCAGGCTAATGCAACAGCCTTAAGAATCCTTGTTAACATGAAAATGAGATATATTTATCTTGTTGGGGAAAGGTGTAAAACATAGATGGCATTAATACTGTAAATGCTCGAACTGGTTTGAATGGGCGCGCTTTTTTAGAATTCACGGTGGCTGTAATCTAACTTGCAGATAGCTGATAGGATAGTTGAAGTCAACGGTTGGAGTCTTATGAATATGCTGAATGAAAGGTAACTACATCACCACAGCATCATAGTTCTATTTTTAAACCTTTCGTTTTGTTCCTGTTAATAACGGCTTCAAGATTACTGCAGTAGAATAAATCGGCGCCGGCAGTAACTAAGAGCCTGTTAACATGGATGTGGGCCACAAGTAGGTGAGGTATCTCGCGGCAGGTCATCCCATCTATCATGTAAACTTGATCAAATTAAAATGAGAGATTATATGGACAGGCGGGTTACCCCACCTAAGCGGGTTACCTCACACACCTAGGGTCCCCGACCTCCATGGAAACAGGCGAACAGTGAACAGGCACTTAAAAGAAACAAATTTTAGAGTGTGGGTGAAAATAATGGCCCTGAGCATTCGGGTAAATTTCTAGTGTTATTAAATGACTAAAAGTGAAAAAGCTGAAGTTTTTAGGGAACAAAGTGAACGCATTTACCTGCTCTGTTGCTGGACTGTTGTGTCGCAGGAACAAATTAAAACCTTTTCAGATAATTTAGGCCCCGTCAACACGTTTCCGAATTCGTTTTCGAACGGAGATTTTTGCTACGGTTTGGCCTATCGGCCACGCCTATCCGCTGAAAACGGTCACCGAAAACGCGTTTTTTTATAAACCCTCTCCAGCGTGGATATCTTTGAAAACGCCGTTATGTACTGGTGTGGATGGATGAAAAACGGAGGTTTTCTTTGAAAACGATCACATCACGGTGTTGGATACCAGTAAAATAGCATGCTCGCATGAAAGAATCAAACGATTCAAAAAACGCAAGAAATTGTCGTGGGTTTTGTTTTGAAAACGGAGACAATAAAAATTTCCGTTTTCAATCAAAAACGGACACGTGTGCATTGGTTAATCGTAGTTTCAAAGAGTGACATCTGCCTTGAAACAGTTTCCTAAAAGCTTCTAAAGAATCTCATCTACTGTTGCAATTTTAAATTGCTTTTCTCCTTTAGAGCCGAGGAGCTTTTTGCTGCCGCCATCAAGTCCTCTGTCGTAAACATTGGTGTTTCGCGGTCGCATTCATTTGTACCGGGTCAGAAGTCAGATGACCAGGAAGAGGAACCGAAACTTGAAGTCAGGGAGACAGAAGAACAAGAAAAGTCGCCCAGAGAAGTCTTGCCTTTAACTCCCCAATCGCTTATTGGTTCGCCTTCCATACCTGACTCTAGCTTCAAGAAAATAAACAAGAGAATTCTTGTTGAACTAATGAAAGGTATGGGTGTTCGGTAGAGCTGGTGTTGAGTTTGCGAGCTAAAATCTGTAGTGGCTGAGTTTTATGAATTATTCGTAAAGTTAAATAAAAGAAGATTGTCACAGTTGTAGAAGCAAATTTTGCAGTTGCGACAAGAAAGCCTGAAAAAAAAAACCAGGCTTTTATGGGATTCGAACCATAGCGGTGCTGCGCGTTCCCAGTGATTTTCGTATATTCAATGTTTAATTCGTAAAGTTGTTAAAACCTGTTATTCCGTTTTCCTTGCCCTGCGAGAATGTTTTTTTTTTCTAAGTGACGGACCTTAGTCTTGATTATTGTCCCGCTTCTTTATCAAGATAAGCTTGCGAGGTCTTTCAATGCCGCAAAACAACGTTCTTTTCCCTCACCAGGAAATGATGGGCTTGGATTTAGCATTACCACGCGAGATAATCCGGCGGGAGGTAACACGCCAATATTTGTTAAAAGTATCATGCCAAAAGGAGCTGCAATCGAAGAAGGACAGTTACGTAGTGGAGATCAAATTGTAGAGGTATGTACTATTTTCTGTGAGGGCTTTCTATGGACCAGCCTGAAAACCCGTTTTAGAGTTGGCCAAACGAGAGTTTCCGCGCTAGTACAGTTCTTACTCTCCCTTGGTCAAAAAACTCTCATAACTCTCGGCGACTCTCGCTCTCCCTGGACGGCTGTTGTCTATTTAAACCTGTTAGTTTTTAGGACAGTCCTTGACAGGCTGTTTTCCTCTCGTTTGGCTCTGGCTTTAGAGCTGTATGGGAGTTTTGGGATCTGCAGTTACAGTAAATTTTAGTTTTGTGGGCTTAACGAGTGAAATGGAGCCCGGGAGAGGTTTATCGTCCCGTCGACTTTTATGAGGCAAGACCTTTCTACTGAGGTTTTTTCACTATGCTTTTCTTCAAAATTTTTTATTTTAGAACTCCTTTTATTCCTGTCAAATTTTGATCCTTGTTGGCATCCTGAGATGGCAAAAGCCGCTTGGGAGATGTGAAGAAAACGCTCGCTCTGTAAACTTTCTTTCATTCAACGCTCACGAACATTCGCTTTCCTTTAATCCTACAGTACCTAGGCCCAGTTCAGACGTCGTCCTTCTGCCGTGCCGAACTTAATTGTAATTTGTGCACATTTGATTCAGACGTCTCTTTCAAGTTTACATGCCTCGTAACAATTCTTCTCCCAACTCTCCGTGGGATCAAAATTCATTAATATAATTTATGAATTTTGTTTAGCGCAATTTTTAGTCGAACTTAAAAGAAAAGTTTGATTCAGACGCCGTTTCTTAAAACTAGAGAATTTAGTTCGGCCAGGTAAAAACTTTGTCACTGTCTTCTCATCAACAATTTTTAGCGAGTTAAAAGACTGTTTCTTAAAACTAGAGCGAGGCCAGCTAAAATTTTGGTAAGACGGAAAGCTGATTTCTTTTTAACACGTACATATTTTAGGTAAACGGGGAGAAGATGAATGGAAAGAGCCAAGCCGAAGCGGTTAACGTGCTTCGAAGTACGAGGGGTTTGGTTAAGATTTTGATTCAAAGAGAAGAAGTCATGCAGTCACCCCGAACACCGGCCATTGAGGTGAGCTGAGCATGTGTTACTGTACAGGCACTCCAACGTTTTCTGGGGCAGGGCAAACGAGGAGAAGTTAGATGCATGTTGGCAGTGAAAGCAGGTTTCCACGTTAGCAAGTTATCAGAGGGGAACAAGACTTTTTATTGCCTTAGAAACTTGGGCTAGTCGATATTTGGTCTTACATGTGATGTGCAGACACAAAATATTAGGAGCAAAAATCAGGAAATTCCGGATGTACGATAGTGGTTTGGTATTCTCTTGTGGCTTGCGTCAAAGTTAAACAACTGAACCGGTTCCAATATACAGTGTAGTCGCGTGAGCCAGTTCACTATTGGCATCTGTTTTTGCCAGAAAATTGAGGAAGCTCGTTAAGAACTCTTTTGTTTGAAGGGCCAAAAAAAGTGGCAGTGACATTCCTAGTATTGGTTCGAAGGGTGCGCACAAGTTGTTCTAGTTACCGTGCGATTTGACACATTAAAGAAAAAAAAAGGGGCCGACCATTTGACTTTTGAGGGGAGTCTGGGTGATTTGATATACGTAAGATTTTTTTCCCAAACCTCTGGTGATAGGTTTTTTTCCCTGACATACAAAGCCATGGGCCACTTACGTGTTCCTAACCCTCACTTTCAAAATAAGGCCAAGTGCTCAATCTGTCTTGTGAAAATGAGTTTTATTTGCGTTAGAATGAAAAGTCATTTCCATATCAAAGGCTGAGCACTTAACCTTGTTTTTATACAGAGGCCTGGAGGAACTCGGAAATAGCCTATTGTATGGCAGGTATTTCCTTGAAAGATTTGTTTTGCTCGAAATCAGTTTGCAGGATATTTTTTACTGAAATCACCCTTAACCCTCTCCCCCCTTCTGAAAAGTTAAATGGTAAGCCCTTCGCTTGATACTGACTTTATCTTTTCGGCGCTTTTTCTCGGTTTGTCCTATTATTCATAGTTTGTTTTCTCTAAATCTCTGTTCTAACCAATCACAACGAACATTTTTTCTTTCAACCAATCACACGCTATGTAAGAGCTCGTGGCTCCATTTTCCCCCGCGATGATAGGTTTACAGAACGCGTTCTGACAAACATTTTTTATCCAACTGTAGCAAATTTTTAAAACTTGTTTTTAAGCTTTCTCTCAACAAAGCTTATCGTTTTCTTGCTTTATTTTGCCTCTTAAGGTGAAGGAAGACAGCTTACGTCACTTCCGAGAAGAAGGCCTTCAAGTATTGACGTTTAAAATACCTTTGGACGTGTCAGGTGCCGCGGGCCTTGGGGTCAGCGTGAAGGGAAAATCCGGAGCATCTTCTGACCAGGGTAGGGACAGTCCAAGAGACAAAGGCATCTTTTGCAAATCCATCATTCCCGGGGGGGCGGCGGCTAAAGATGGCCGTCTTCGCCCAGAAGATCAGCTCCTTCGTGTTAATGGAAAATCTTTGGTTGGTTTAACTAACCAATCAGCCATGGAAACGCTTAGACACGCGATGCAGTCCACGCGTCCCAATCAAGCATTCATTGACGTTACTATATCTCGGGAGCAAGACGAGTTACCCCCTCCCCCTGGAGTGTTGCTTCAGAGCAAGTCTCTAGAGAAGCTTAATGCTCCTGACCAGGAGAGGCCCATAGAAGCAGAGTCTGAGGAGAAACGTGTCGAGGAGCCAGTACAGGGTGTTTCCGAGACTGACGGTGGTGTCCCTAGTAAAGGAAGTAAGTTTCCAGTGGTTTAAAGTCAATGTAAAGTGACACGCTCGTGACCAGTGTTCGTGGCATGTAGATTTTCCGAATCATTCCAACCAAGTAGCAATTTATCTCTAACTGTAGAGCCGCATGGGATAAATGCACGCTTTTCCTTAAACTGATGCATTCTAGTTTTTCATGTTGCCTTGTTTGCCTTAATAGAGACTTGTAGATTCGAGGACGAAGACGACTGTGAGGACGAAATTTACGGAATTTTTTTTTCGCCTGTATTCTTAAAAAAATTTATATAACTGAAAAGCCTCATTCTACTTTTTTTTACCAGAAAGTTTAGAAGGGTTGATTTTTTTGAAGTCGGTTAAGCCCTTGCTTCTATTAGAATCACATTTTCGCTAAAACTTGGCCCCTAGTTGAATGACGACGGATACCAGGTTTTCCCGCCAAAATGACGCTGGTTAACGCGTTCGCACTACTTAGTATTGATAAAATCTGGTACTCGTCTTATAATCTTAAGATCTCTAATCATAATATATAAATTCATACTTTACCGCTCGAGACGTGAGCTTCCGAAACTCTTCACGGTGGCAAATTTACTTTATCTACTTAGCCTAACAGTACGACAACACAACTACACCTAAGAAGAAACAATACTTCATTGCGTGAAATAAGTACTTGAAAAAAGGTGAAAGTAAATTTTATTTTCTCTTACTTAGGACTTTCGAGCAGTGGAAGTGACGACCAATTTAATGAGTCCGTCGTAAACAGAAACCTAACACCTCTCCGAGCTCGAAATGGCGTTCAACGCAATGATTCCTACTATGTAGCAGTCAATAAAAGTCAAAGTCCTGGCGGACAATTCTACAGCCCGTTACGGCCTCGTCCATTTCATCGACCCAGTCCTCTAGCTGTTGGAAATGGCCGAACACTATTTCCTGGTCCCATTACTCCCGCAAGGACTTCAACGCCAGTGGACAATCGAGTAATAAACCCTCCGATCAATTTTCCCGCCGGAAGGCCTATAAGTACTGTTGCTATGCCAACGCCTCCTTTGGAAAGCACTGATGACAGGCCGTCGAGTCCATCGCAGGCTTCTCCAAAAGCACTTCCACCTCAGCCCCCTCCAAGATGGGACTCAGAGAGGGATACTACGAAACTTAATTACGGTGCGCCATCTGGGCTGCAGTTACGGCTTAAAATGCCGGACGGACAGAACTCACCGGAGAGAGGGGCCACCCCAACTACACCGCCTCCCCCTCCCTCTCAGTTTTCGAACCAGTCACCTACGCGGGAGCTTCCTCCCTCCTACGACCAGGCGGTCTCCCGGCTAGGGAGGTCTCCTCATCCCTCTGTCAGCTCGGAACCGACTACACCGGTCAAAGAGCAGCGGAAGTCATGGAGCGAGGACGTGAACGGGGAAACTCCAATCATCCGGCCGCCTAGTCCGTTTTCATCCGAAGACGATAATCCATTCCAGAGGGATGGCTTTGGTAGGTTGTCCATGTCGGAGAAAAGAGGCCGAGCGGCGCTGGACGCTAGACAGTCAGAATTCTTCATGAAACGAGATCAAGAAAGGAGTGAAGGTGAGAATCTTGAAAACCGTGAACACCTGAAATTATATTTCGTGAGGATTGTATCTTCCTCGTGAGATAAATGGCAACACTTTTCAGTAATAGTAGCTCTTGACACTTATATAATTCCTTTATTTGCCCTCGGCAGTATTTATAGCACTTATGCTAGTGGGGGAAATTCCAACTGCAAACCAAAACCAGCTGGCTATTTACAAGCGTGGTCGAGGATTTGAACTCGGGATTACCGTGAACCATGGAATACCATGGAAACCTATACATTTTGATACCTCTTAACCAACGGTTAGCGCTAACCAGTCTTTGAGCAACCGGCCCGGCGGGACTTGAACTCTGGGCCTCCGAATTGCAGGTCCAGCGCTCCCAACCGCTCGGCCACGCTACCCTAATAGTGATCAGCATCAAATCAGCCTCAGGTTTCCAAGCGACAAATCTGATTGTACTGCCGTACATTTTTTTAGGGAGTGCCTCGGAAGAGGAGGAAAAGGAAGAAGAAGAAGAAGAGGAAGAGGAAAGACCGGCCGCAGCAAATACACATCCGCCCCTCAGACGAGCTGACTCTGAGGAGTTGTTACGAGAGCAGTTCAACAAAGGTAAGATTTAATGAACTTGAATTGTGTACTTCACTTCAACTTTGCTTCGCACTTCTGCTTCAGCACTGTTTAGTAGGTTAAAGGTAAGCAGTTATCCAAAGACTCAAAAGCTAGAACTACCTTGTGAGGCATAATAAGTAGCACCACAAAAAAACACCGCTCAGTAGCTTTCATTTAGCTGTCGATGATGAAGATGATGATGACGACGAGGATAATGATGCTGATTCGTTTATTTTGTAGAGTCAAAACTCTTCTAATTACAACCAGTAACTATATAGTTGAAATACGTTTGCAAACAATAGAAGTTAAAAAAACCCACTGGTTTTCTTATTTCAGTTCGTCTAAAAAAAGAATTCTTACGAGTGCAAGAGATTTCCCCCGCCCGCCCGCCCCTTGCCTCACCTTTTTTCATGGTTATCTTTGCAAGTGCTGATTATGATCTTAGAATCCTTTAAACTTTGACAACAGTTGATGGGGCAGGAGTTGTGCAAAGTCTGATAAACACCACTTTTGGCTTATTAGGCTTCAGTCTCAAGCCTTTTTGTAATTGGTTGTAACGTAGGATTTACAAACTAGAAACATTGCTGGTGTTGTTACCCGTTATAGGCTCCCAGGACGAAAGAAGATCACTTCCTCATAGTCGCATGCAAAAGAGCAAGTCAACTGGTCAGCTTAAACATGTCGGCGTTAAAGACAAAAATAAAAAGTGAGTAATTTGGTTTTTACCAAAAAAATTCCCAGTTTTTTTTTTTGTGTCAAACCCTACATGACTACAAAGCAGTTTTCATTGTTAATATTATTACCTTATTATTCGGGGTATCTACTCTATAATTTTATTAACTATTTCGGTGTCCCAAACTCCACACGTACAAGGAATATTTAAGAACGTTTCTTTTCCCTCTCCTCTTCCCCCCTAATAATGTGTATATTGAATTTGTAAATTATTTGGACTCTTTCTCTTGTAGTTTATGCGTTTGTGTTCATTTTGTTTAGAACCCTCCTCTTGTAATTATCATAACCGTACATATTTTGTGTCAGTTAAAAGAAACTAATAGAGTGAATTATTAATACAAATGTATTTTAATCTTGGCTTTTATAGGTCTAAAAGCAACGACAACCTAAGTTTTACAAAGGCTGTTGAAAATGCCAACAACGCATATTCAGGTGAGAATTATCACCCCATCCTCCCGACTCTTCCTCTTTTACCCAATTCGAGTCTTAAACATATCGTTAGAGGGCAATCGGTGGGGTTTCAATTACTGTCTTTTCTACCTAAACAGTCACGGTCAAACTAAGAAAACCGTGGACACTTAAATACAAGACGTCTATCCAAATACCCGTTGTTATCTGCCGTTTAGTTTTTTTCCTTGGTCTGATTATCTCGTTAACTTCTGAAAATAACGGTATTCCGCTTTGGGAAGAAAGAAAATCGTTTTAAGGCAGGATAAAAACCCTGTAGCCTTCGTAGCAGGCGCTTGGAAGACGTGGGCACCAGAAAAAACGGGCGCGCGAGAAGGAGACACGCGAGGGGAGAGGGAGCGCCTACACGGAAGGCCCCCAAAAATCGTTTCCCGCCCCCTCTCCAATTACCTGGCAGCCGGGCCGCCCGGGCCCGTTATCTCTTTCGCCCACTACTTCCGAGCGCCTGCTACGCAGGCTAAAAACCCTGTAGCCACTCGACTTACACATGTAGATATTGCGTGACTTATGTGTTCCTTGCGTGATATATGCACAGGAAGTGACATGCCCAATGGTCACGCACGCAGTCAGTCTGAAGAAGAGGTACCTATTACAATGCAGAGTAACGCAGATTTCAATGCAGTGCAACAGAAACTTGCTGTCAAGAAACCATTCTACAAGGGAATATTCAAGTACGTATTTCGTTAGGCTTTTGGTTTGTCAACTACCATTAAAAGGTGTTACTCTGTTCACTAGTGTTTAACTTGCGGGTACACCCTTCTCTCCTCGCTCGCCGCTAGGAACCATTCGCGGGAAGTAACTCAAGCGGTGAAGAGCGAAGACAGACGGCTGTATTTGCGGACTTTTTCTGGCTGTTTCCGCTGTGTCCGGTAGAAATACGCCCTTAATCTGTTCTAAACTCTTTTCAAAGAGTTCGCCATGCAGCTTGAAGGTGGAAGGTGAATACCTTAAATAAACTGTGTGGGTTTGCGCGTGTCCAGTTTTGGTCTGGTTCAGGACCTACACTGTACAAGATTCGTTTTCATTCTAAACCACTGCTCGTAACGGTTGAAGCGTTGAAGCGTAGAAGCGTGGATGCCTGTAGCCTGCCAGTACATCCCATCGCTGTCCGTCGTTGGGGGCGTTTACAAAATTCCGTGTTGCGATCTGGAAAAGGGTGAAACTTGCAGTTCATAATGTCGGGTGGAAATGGCGCACATCCCCTTGTGATCATTTGTGCTCAGTAGCTTTGATTGCTAACAGCTGAAGATAGGTGGCCTTCTTCTTTATCACCAGCTATCTGCTGTAATTTACCACTAACGGTCCGGAGGAAATTACTTTCCCTTAATCTTATGCGTATTTTGAGTATTTTAAGAGGTGACAAACTCAAGCTTTTTAATTTTACTCACTTTTTCAGAATTGGAAAAGGAAAGAAAGGCGATTACAATTTAACAGACAACGATGGCCTTTCCTTCAAGCATACGTATAACAGAGAAGCACTGATCGATTTTCCCGCCGAGCAGCGTTATCGACAGCTTGTCAATCACTACGGGCAAGAAAAACCCTCCGACCGCGCGAATACGCTTCCGACTCGCAGCAAAAAGAAACACGATGTTAGGAACAAAGGCTATGAGGAAGAACGACCGGCTCCGATGTTGAAAGTCGGAAGAGTAACAGTAACAGCGCCAACTAGGGTTTAATACACACGTGATAGTTGAATACAAAGTAGATTGACTGTTTTCGCTCCAAAAGATTTTGCACTCTTTGTTTTAAAGAAATTGTGATACTAAGCTTAAGCATTAGCTATTGATATTCAAGAACTTGGAGAACATTTTTATTTTTGTCTTTATGACCTTTTAGGTCCTAAAAGTCCTCTTGAAATTGTAAATGAACCAAAATCCATTTCTTTTATTATATATTTCTTCAAGCCCAGAGTGAACGAGGAATATTTTGATACTTTCAGCAACTCGTAATTTCTTACACGCAAAAAAGTTTCATTTCTCTTTATTGTCTTGTCCTTTAATCGTTTTCCTCTGGGCTTGTCGAGTCTTTTCTTTGCGATTGTACTACAGAAACCCCTTTATTCGAAGCATTGTCGTCCTAAATGTTCCAGCGAAATATCTGATTTGTATGGACGGGATTTCGAGTGGTTAGGGTTTTACAGTGTACCTCAGTTTCAATAAGTTATGTGTTAAGTGAAATGAAAGAGAGATTAAACAGTAATGTGATAACCTCGCGGTAACAATAAGCTGAAACTCATGTGGTAAATTCGATTTGTAGATTGTATTGATCCTAAATAGCTGATTATTTTTCCAGAAAAGAAAGAAAACATATTTTGCATTACGTTTTTGTAAAATAACTTAAATATGTCTCTACCCGATCTGTAAATAGCAATACACCTTAATTAGAATCAAAATAGTAGAATTTTTTTCTTATAATTATACCAACTGATATATATGCAAATTTAGCTAGGTTTGTAATAATTGCTTTGTGGTTTTAAGTTTGATCACAGATTATTGTCGCCGATATCGACGTTGTTGGTCGCCTTTTATCTAAACTGATTAGAGATGCACCAATATTAAACGCTTATTTTCTAATCGTTGTGGTTGAGTTTTTTTGTTGGAAAAGGGGGTGAATGGATGAAGAGTGAACTTAGGCATAAACCAGTTACGCCTCTGACGGGCTTAATGGACCCCAAAGCTCCTAGAGCGAGTTTTCCTCTCCCTTCACAAGTTGATCCTGTGGACTTGTACTCTCAATAGATAAACCGTCGCTCGGTTATAGCTCAGTTAGGAGAGCGACAGTCTGCCGAGCGGGAGGGCTTGGGTTTGAACCCCGCCCTGACCAAAAACCAGAGTCTTTTAAATTCGCAAGATTATGCTGGCTGTCTCAGTTCAGGCGATCGCGTTACTGGGCGGTGACGTCGAGCCGATGGCCCTCATCTTGTCGGCTTATCAATTCGAAGTCGACGTAAAGCGCTCTTAGACTCAGTGTCGAAAGCTCTCGACATCATCGAGCGTAGTACAGCATTAATAGCCCGCAATGTGGGTAGCAAAATTCTGCGCAATGCATCTCTTTGTAGTGTTTTCTCAAACACAGGAGTGAACTTAACGCTTACTAAATACGAGTGCATTTACTACTGACAATAGAGTGGATTTTCAAGCAGATGCTTAACAAGATTTGAAAACGTGACAGAGTAGATTGAGTACATTTGAAGGTTCTTCGCGCCCCTTCTAATTTTTAAGGGAAAAGCTCTGGAGACGAGGTTGTTGGAGGCTACCTCAGTGATGTGCCAGTTGAACGTCAAACTTGCTTCCAAGAAAATTCCCAGGCTCTTTGCTGATTTTGATGGTGTTATAGACTTTCCAAGCAGGGTGACGCAGAAATCGTGAGATGAGGCATTCTTTGAAGCATCTGCGGTGTACCCAGTAACAGCAGCTTTGACTTGTTTGAGTTAACGAGCAAGCCCTTTTGACAAAACCAGGAAGCAATCTCCCGCAGATCCTCTGTTAACTGGGCCCTTAGCTACGCTGGTGGTTCCGACAGGAAATGACATAAGGAGTTATCAATCATGAACATAACTATTTAGTGAGGCTGTATTTGGGACAGCTGATGGCAGATGGCAACAACATAGATATCAAAAAGCGCAGAACCAAGAGTCGAGCCTCGTGGACGCCATGACATAACGCACGAGTGGATGATATGCATCCATTTCTAACTAACTGTAGACTGTCGGTCAAGTAACTTCTGAACCACTCAGTCGCGTTCCTGGAGAGTCCCAAACCTCGAAGTTTCCTCAAAAGATTTAAGAAGTAACGAAATAAGATCACATTAGAGAAGCTTCACTGGCTGCCTGTCGCACTGTTATTAAAAATAAGAGACATTGTCATGAATTTTAAATGTGTTAAAGGACTTGCCTCGCCCCATCTCTGTAATAGATTTTAAAAAACAGATAATGTGCACTCTCGTAATTTCAGAAATAAGAACAGCTAGAACAAGCTTCAGATCTGCTGCCCGGGGGGAGGGGGGGTACTTGAGTTAATTTTTGCTGGGTATGTGCCGCTGGCCTCTCAGAGCCCCTACCCCGTTATAGTCTATTCTGTGGCCTATTATAGACCCCAACTTAGTCGCTTTTTGCAAATATGTTATTTTCTACTGGAGTTATGCCTGATGTCTTGAAGATTGCAGCTGTGACACCGACTTTAAAGAAACATAATGCTGATTTCACTAAATATGAAAGTTTTCGACCTATTTCTAATTTGAAGTTTGTGTCCAAGCTTGTGGAAAAAGCTTACAGATTATATTACATCTAATGGTCTTTCGGAAACGTTTCAATCCGCATACAAGGCATTTCACTCCACTGAAACGGCTCTACTGAGTGTTCAAAATGACATTCTTTGTGCTTTAGATCGTAATGAGTCGGTCATACTGGTACTTTTGGATCTGTCGGCGGCGTTTGATACGGTGGACCATACTCTTCTAGTGACAAGGCTGTCTACTTGTTTTGGTTTTCAAGGAACTGTGCTTAAGTGGCTGAAATCATACCTGTCTTCACGTAAGCTGTTTGTTAAAGTTGGGAATAGTCATTCTTCACAACGTGCATTGAAGTGTGGTGTCCCTCAGGGATCAGTTCTGGGCCCTTTGTTGTATTTGTTATACACATCACCTATTGCGGACATAATAAATGATCATGGACTATCATACCATCTATATGCTGACGACACCCAATTATATATTACCTTTAAATCTACCAGCTTGAATGACATCCAACAAGTGAAGTTGAGAGTGGAATGCTGTGTGAGGGACATTGATGAATGGATGATAAGAAACTATCTTAAACGAAACCAGGACAAAACGGACCTTGTAGTCATCAGTTCCAGATTCCATCCTATGCCTGACATCGGTCACATTACTGTTGGTTCTGAGTGCATTGCACCTCGTGACTCTGTTCGTAATTTAGGGGTTCAGTTTGATAGCATATTTAGTTTTGAGGAGCACATTAAGAACATTTGTAAATCATCATTCTATCATTTGAGAAATTTGCTAAAATCCGTTTACTTAACCCAAGATAAAAAATAGTCCATGAATTAGTTCGAAACTTGATCACTGTAATTCCTTATTACATGGCCTTCCTAAATCTGTTAGCTAGACTACAGGCAGTTCAAATGCTGCATAGTGTTGTCACATTGACACCGAGGCATGTTCATAAACTCCATTTTAATTAATCCATTGTCCAGTTGAAAATAACTTTTAAAGTCCTTTTATCCAAGGGTCCTTGCACCTTCTTATATTTCCCTTTTGAATTTTAAAACATACCTAGGTCATTGCGTTCTTCATGTAAAGAATATTTAGTGGTTCCAAGAAGCAGACTGAAAACATATGGAGACAGAGCTTTCTCTATTGCAGGACCCCCCGATTTACCCTAGAGATTAGGAAATGTGCTTCAGTGGCAACTTTTAAGCAATCCCTTAAAACTTTTTATTTAAGTTAGCATATAGATCCTTTTGTTTTGAGATGTTTTTGATTTATATAGTAGATAACTGTTTTTGAATTATATTGGATATTTTATATTTTATATTTTTATATTCTATTTTGTAATTAGGTACTTATTGGATTTTAGCGCTATATAAATAAAATTATTATTATTATTAGTATTATTAACTTAGCCACTTTCTATTTATGAATATCCAAATAAGTCACCATTTTTTTAATTTTTAACCTTATGGTACGTTATCTTTGCAACAAAAATATGAGAATCGCCCCAAATCCAGCGATTTTAACTATAAGGCGGGCAATTTCCCGCTGCTGGTTGATAAGGGGACTCATTAAGGCCAATTACCATTTTCCTTATCTTAACAAACGAGAATCGCCATTTTAACAGGCATGTCGGTTGAGGGGTGGCTTAGGCATGTCGCTTACGATTGCGTGACGTACGTCTCATGTGAGAGTTAAAACAGTTACTCAATTGAACATTGTACCCTTTTGGAAGAGTTTCGTAACAAGAAAAATGAGTAGCATGTTTAAGTCGGGGCTGTGTAGTACGTTTTCAAATTCCACCATTATGAATAAAAATAAGCAAGTGAGCCATTCTAAGCAGGAAACAATAAGCATTATTTTCACGCACCCCTCCCCCAATCCTTCTGCTCCCCAAAATATAGTGTGACTGATTTGACCTAAGCGGAAGTTCCAAAAATAATTGTCGTTACGGGTCAAAACGCTGTTAATAACAAGCAGTACATTTATCAATTCTGGTTCTTAAAACTAACACAGCAAATTAAATTTAATTGTTTTTGTCTGACATTGCGTTTTTAACTATCCTAGTGAATATGTATAATATTTTTTTTGACATGGTGATCTACAATGAGCACATTCCCCAGGATATTCTTTTGTCCTTTTTATCCCAGGGGATGAACTCTCTTACATTAACTTTAAATAGTGTAAAGATTAGATGAGACGGACTATGCACCCCTCCCCCCCACCTCGACTTCCCAGAAATACCCCCCAATTCTTAAACTGGGCTCGCCACAGGCCGCCCAGTTAATAACGGGCGGAAAGTGTTTTGCGTATCGGGATTGACACGAAACTAACTGGAATGCATGTCCAGGTCACGTGGTCGTTGAAATGTAACGATTTTTTGTCACGTGGCAGCCAGAAAACATTCATCAAGGGTAGGCATACCACCATTCCGGTTAAAGGTTGCATTTTGGAAAGTACTTAAGGTAGGTAAAAACGACACCAATAAAACTGCTCAATAAAAGTTTTTTTACCCTGCCTGTAGAATCCTTAAAGAAAAAATACGGAAGTGAAGCGTTACTTGGTCACGCAAATGATGATGTCAATCTCAAAAACACTATCTTAACAGGGATAATGCAATGACCACGTCTCACCCTTGCCACATGATTTTCTTTTGAAGATAGACCATCCCCTTACGATTTCAGAGCAAAAAATGGCAGATCCAGGCCTTAACTCCCTGAGTAATCGCGCTTAAATTTCTACATTTTTTTTATCGGATGAGTAAACACTTTATCGAAGAAGTCTTTTTAATCTTAGGTTGCAGGTTGAAACGTACGCAAAGGATTGCCGAAAGTTCGCTGGGGGTAGAATAAACACGCGAAGGATTCTGGGAGCGGAGTCTATCTTTGTTTACCATTTACCACAAATTCCAGGAAATTCCAGTTGGGATGTAAATGGTAAACGTTTTTTAGTTTCGTCCCACTGGAAAATTCCCGGGACAAACAGAAATTCTGAAAAGGTAGTCCCGTTTTCCCGATCGGGACGTTCCGAATGGAAATTTGTTTACCATTTACAAGTTTCTTGAGTTTCGTACAATAGGACAATTGCACGATGTCGTCATTTTACTACAACAACCAGAAGCCTTCAGTTTGCTGTTTTCTTGTGCAAATTAAGGCTATTGTCAATAATCTTCAGTGGAATTGACAAATTTAATAAGAAAGTGAAGGCGAAATGAATTCTGGTAGTTCTAATCAAACATCGTCATCGTGAAAATGGCCTATTCGTACTAGTTTCATGTTGTAACTAGAATCCAGTCTAGCGCGGCGCGACAATCAGGAAATTTTAGGCAAATGGTAAACGACACGTACCGTTCTTACCGACCAAAATTTCTCAACCAAAATTTCTCGAATTTTTTTTTTATGAATGGTAAACAACCAATCACGCCACGAGGTTCTGAAGTCCACTAAGGTAAGTGCGTATAGCTTTCTAGATAGATTTAAGTTTATTTGTTGAAAAATCGCATCGAAGTCCATTCGATCTTAAGTCAAAATTGTGGAAACTCGTATTGCTCATCGAGGACTTTGAGGAAACTTGCATTGCTCGTCGATGTCTTTGACCGACAGACACGGTCACACTTGGATTTTTCAGACTCAAGTCAAACCTAACTGGGCGCGAAAGACTCGCACCACAATCTTAAAGTATTTTCAGTTATCCAGAAAAGGACAAAGAACTGGTTTAGTGACTCATGGGTTTTGATATTGGCACATTTTCAGAGTTCTAGAGGTCCAGAGGTCGCTTCGAAAACTCTTGTTTTGTGTAGCGTGTCACGCGTCAGCGTAAATAAAGCTTATGTCACATTTTGAATTTTCGTTCATACGGTAATACCTCAGTTGAAAGCTAAGTTTAATAATGCTGAAACGAAAAAGTCATAGTTTCATGAATTCAGCTTTAAACATTCCTCGAACGTTTTCTTGTGCCTTGGATAGTTTTCTAGAAATAGCATCGAGTTTGTTTTTGCCACTGATTTATCAGCTTTGACCGGCTGTGAGAAATGAATTCACAGAGCTTCTTTTTAACACACGCTCAAGATATATTGAGTCACCAGAAAACAGTAGATTGTTGGAAGAAGTCAAGGAACCTCTCTGGGCTTATTTAAGACAACAATGCCCGTCTTTTTTGGAAATATATTGCAATGCTTGCCTTAGTCAGATTTTTGAGCAAAAGACCTTTGGCAAGCTTAATCCAGATGCAATGATTATCTTTTCATCTCTAAGAACCTTCCAATCATTTTGTAAGACATGCCAAAAGGATGAGTTCTAAGTAGCTCAATTTTGGTAAATATCGTGACTAGATCTGTGTTGCAAATTCCTGGCCACAGTTTGTTTCTGCTATTGAAACTTACCCTGGAAAGTTAAACTGCCCTGATTGTGAAACCCCAACGTGTGAGCCAATTTTGACCTCCGTAGCACACTCAAAGTTCGTTTTTATTGAATTCTCTCTAGAGCTTATGAATGTGATAAAGTTGTATGAAAATATAAATGCTGGCCAAAGGGTACGTAAGCCCTTAAGGAGTTAATGCTACTATTCTCACGTTAAAAACACTTACAATTTGCAGGGTATCCTTAGTTTAAACTCAGATCAAAGTTTTCTCGCCACTTCGACCAATTTCAGGACCCATTTTTCAAAATGAATTCTCGATCTTCTTGTTCCCAATTACTTTACCAAAAGCACCAAAACACTAAAACAAAAATCGGACCTCAGCTTTGACCACTTATCACTTATCTCACAATGTATCGCCTAGGAAAGAATGGTCAGTTTAAATGCATACAGTTGGAGATCTTCGTACATAAAAATGTGAACAGAATCCGAAAATGTATAATAATGAATACTGAAGGAACAATCGGTTTTGTCACTTCCTCAAAGGATCAAGGATTGTTTGATTTTTATTGATCGAGTTGTTTGAAACCATCCTGTGGAGGAAGCCAAGAAGATGAAATGTTATAAAAGACAATATATAAACAATTTGTCCAAGTCTCGGGTCTTTGACATTTATTATTTGCCGAAACGTCTCACGACTTTGTCCCGCCATAGCTATTCTGGAGTTTACAAAAAGCACAATAGCCGTACGTGCGCATAAACATCCTCAGAAAAATCGTTATTGCTGAAAATCAAGAGGAGAGGCTGTTTTTTCAACGAGACAGCATTCCTTTTTGATGTCACGCACTGTGAAAATTCGGAAGTTCAAATTGAGGAACAAACTTGGTTTTTTTTGTTTACCCCTAGTGAAATAAGTAAAACCTCGCTATTTTGATTCTCCACTGAAAATATCTATTGAACCCGCTCCAGAAATTTTTGTGGTGTTCACGTACAGAGGAACAGGTTTTGACCCCTGGAAGTAATGATTCTCCGAAAATATCGACCCCTTGGTCTGATTATCTCGTAATTGTTCTGAAAATAACGGTATTCCACTTTGGGAAGAAACAAAAGTCGTTCTAATGCAGAATAAAAACCCAGCCACTCGACTTACACAAGTAGATATCGCGTGACTTATGTGTTCCTTGCGTGACATGTTTACAGGAAGTGACATGCCAAATGATCACGCACGCAGTCAGTCTGAAGAAGAGGTACCTATAACAATGCAAAGTAACGCAGATTTCAATGCAGTGCAACAGAAACTTGCTGTCAAGAAACCCTTCTACAAGGGAATATTCAAGTACGTACTTCGTTAGGCTTTTGGCTTGTCAATGCCTATTAAATGGTGTTACTTGGTTCACTAGTGTCTAGCTTGGGGGTACACCCTTCTCTCCTCTCTCGCCGCTAGGGGAATAACCCAAGCAGTGAAGAGCGAGGACAGACGGCTGTATTCGCGGGCTTTTTCTGGCTGTTTCCGCCTTGTCTGGTAGATATACGCCCTTATAATCTGTTCTAAACTCTTTTCAAAGAGTTCGCCATGCAAGGTGGCAGGTGAATACCTTGAATAATCTGGTAATGGTTCAGGACCTACACTTCACAAGAATCTTTCTCTTTCTGAACCGCTGCTCGTGGGGGTGGACTCGTTGAAGCGTGGATGCCTGAACCTGCCAACATATCCCATCGCTGTCCATCGCTTGGGGCGTTTACAAAATTCCGTGTTGTGATCTGGAGAAAGGTGAAAGTGGCAGTTCATAATGTCAGGTGGAAATGGCGCACATCCCCTTGTGATCATTTGTGGTCAGCAGCTTTGATTGCTAACAGCTGAAGACGGGTGGCGTTCTTCTTCTTTTACCAGCCATCTTCTGTAATTTACCACTAACGGTCTGGAGGAAATTACTTTCCCTTGATCTTATGCGTATTTTGAGTATTTTAAGAGGTGACAAAGTCAAGCATTTTATCTTTACTCACTTTTCAGGACTGGAAAAGAAAGGAAAGGCGATAACAATTTATCAGACAGCGATGGCCTTTTCTTCAAGCACACGTATAATAGAGAAGTACTGATCGATTTTCCCCCCGAGCAGCGTACTCGACAGGTTGTCAATCACTACGGGCAAGAAAAACCCTCCGAACGCGCGAATAGGCTGCTGACTCGCAGCAAAAAGAAACACGATGTCAGGAACAAAGGCTACGACGAAGAAGGACCAGCTAAGATGTTGAACGTCGGAAGAGTAACAGTAACTGCGCCTACTAGGGTTTAATACGCATGACTTTTTGTCAGGTACTCGTGAATTTAGATTTGGAACTCGTGATAGTTGAATACAAAGTAGATTGACTGTTTTCGCTCCAAAAGATTTTGCGCTCTTTGTTTTTAAGAAATCATTTACATCACCACGAAACTGTGATACTAAGCTTAAGCTTAAGCAATAGCTAATGATATTCAAGAACTTGCAGAGCCTTTTTATTTTTGTCTATATGTCCTACGAAAAGTCCTCTTGAAATTGTAAATAAACCAAAAACAATTTCTTTTATTAATATAGTTCTTGAAGCCCAGAGTGAACGAGGAATATTTTGATGCCTTTCATCAACTTGTAATTTCTTACACGCAAAAAAGTTTCAGTTCTCGTTATTGTCTTGTCCTTTCATCGTTTTTCTCCGGGCTTGTCGAGTCTTAGCGATTGTACTGCAGAAACCCGTTTACTCGAAGCATTGTCGTCCTAAATGTTCTAGCGAAAAAATCTGATTTGTATGGACGGGATTTCTAGCTAGTGGTTAGGGTTTTACAGTGTACTTCAGTTTCAATAGAGCGGTTTTCATTTGAGTATCGTAAAACCAAAACCAAAGTAATTACTCTAGCCAATCACAAAGGACACAGACAAAACAGTGAACCAATTAAAACTCGAAGTAATTACATGTAGCTGACGCAAAGCGCGGGAAAATGCATGCGAGCGTGACACAATTGGTTTTGGTTTTCCTTCTGATTGGATAAAAAAGTGGCGCGAATCTTTTAAGCCAATCACGTAGCGTAGTAAACGCAAAACCAATTACCTTTCGACACTCAAATGAAAACCGCTCTAAGTTGTTTGTTAAGTGAAATGAAAGAGAGAAAAAACAATAATGTGATAACTTCGCGGTAACAATAAGCTGAAACTCATGTGATACATTCGATTTGTAAATTGTATTGATCCTAAATAGCTGATTATTTTTCCAGAAAAGAAAGAAAACATATTTTGCATTACGTTTTTGTAAAATAACTAAAATATATCTCTACCCGATCTGTAAATAGCAATACACCTCAATTAGAATCAAGAAAGTAAGATTTTTTCCTTATAATTGCACCAACTGATATTTATGCAAATTTAGCTAGGTTTGTAATAATTGCTTTGTGCTTTAAGTTTGATCACAGATTATTGTCGGCGTTATCGACGTTGTTGGTCGCGTTTATCTAAACAGATTAGAGATGCACCAATATTAAACGCTTATTTTCTAAACGTTGAGGTGGAGTTTTTTGTTGGAAAAGGGGATGTATTGTTGAAGAGTGAACTTGGGCATAAACCAGTTACCCCGCTAACGGGCTTAATGGACCACAAAGCTCCTAGAGCGAGTTTTCCTCTCCTTTCATAAGCTAATCCTGTTGACTTGCACTCTCAATAGATATACCGTCGCTCGGTTATAGGTCAGTTGGGAGAGCGATAGTCTGCCGAGTGCCGAGCGGAAGGACTTGGGTTTGAACCCCGCCCTGACCAAAAACCAGAGTCTTTTAAAGTCGCAAGATCATGCTGGCTGTGAGTTATGATCTTGTCTCAGTTCAGATGATCGCGTAATTGGGCGGTGACGTCAAGCCGTTGGCCCTCATCCTGTCTTATCAAGTCGAAGCCGACGTAAAGGCTCTTAGACTTTTTTTATTCTCGAAAGCTCTCGATAACATTGAGCATAGAATCCTTTGGAGGAAACTTCGAGGTTTGGGACTCTCCAGGAACGTGAGTGAGTGGTTCAGAAGTTACTTGACCGACAGACTAGAACAGACTACAGTTAGTTAGAATTGGGATGTGTATCATCCTCTGGCGTTCCACAAGGCTCTATTCTGGGTTTAGCGCTCTTTGATATCTATGTTGTTGATCTGCTATCAGCTGTCCCAAATGCAGCCTCACTGAATTGTTATGTGGATGATTCGCAACTCCTTATGTCATTTCCTGTCGGAGTCACCAGCGTAGTTAAGGGCTCAGTTAACAGAGGATCTGCGGGAGATTTTGCTACCTGGTTTTCAAATGGGCCGCTTGCTTGTTAACTCAGACAACTCAAAGCTACTTTTACTGGGGACACCTCAGATGGTTCAAAGGATGCCTCACCTCAAGACTTCTGCGTCACCTGTGACGAAATCCGCCATAACAGTGAGTCCTCTCTAACGAAAAACGAAGAGCATAAACGATCTCGAGAAAACACGTACCAAAATAATACTTTAAGCATTTATTAAAACAATACTCCAAAAACTCTACAATTTTAAAATTAACTAAGCGTTTCTGTATACTAGTTCCACTAAACGATTAAAACGAGATTATTCTTCTAAACTCTAATGACTTATGCAATATTCCTAATTATTAAAAACTGAGTCATTGGATAATGAAATTCTAGAGCTCTGATTGGCTTAGCTATCATGGTATATGAGCCATCTACCACACTCTCCAAATATTAAAAACAATTTGAAATTAAAAATTAAAAACAAGTTGAAAATCGGTTGTTTTTACAAATAGAGCCGGGAAGAATTCTCGATACTTTCTGGGCGTTTTTAAGAAAACAATTATTTCACTCGCGCTTGTTGGATATGAGATGATTATAGCCAACTCGGCGCTACGCCACTGGTTGGCTCTAACTTAACAATTAGTTCATGCTTCAGCGTGCGTATGTCGAGATATTGAGCACGCGGGAAGTTTGGAGAGCACGAAAGAGGCGTAAGAGTTGCACGAGGCGCAGCCGAGTGCAACTCTAGCCTCTAGCCTCTTTTATCAAAGCGATCAATGCATCAGTTAACTTAAATATTATTATTGTAGGGCGCGCTCAAAGCAGTACAGTACGCGTCAATGTTTACTTGAGTATACTTTTTTTCCTCACAGTTAAGCTTATGTTTTTATCCTGAAACTGAGAGAAAGTGTACCCTAAAATGATTGTAAAATCCATATTTAGGTGCTGGAAAACTATTAATTTACCGAAAAATTGTTATTGAGATAAAACAACTTTGCAAAGAATGATCTCACGCCATAGCCCGCACAGCTCGCGGAGATGACAACAACAACAACACTCACCTCTTTTCCTTGCTATCGGTTAATAAATTCAAACCTTTCCTCTTAAAATTCGTCATAAAACACATGGTAAACGCTTTATCGTGTACTGCCGAGTTATGGATGCACTCAGGAGACTCAGGATTGCTAAGCTCACAACAACTCGAGGAATTACGAATAATTTATTGACGTCATCAGCGTGCTCAATGGGAATATGAAGCACGCTCGCGCTATTGAATGCTCGTGGAATTTTCTAGCTATGTTATAAAATCTCATATCCAACGCGCACTCGTGGAATAATTGTTAACTATTCAGCCCAAAATACAAAGCGATTTTTAACCACTTAATCTAGTACATATTTACAACTTATTTCTTCAAATGCAAGTTAACTTTTCTTTTTTTGTTTTTCAGTTCACCTTGCGTATAAACAAAGAGAAAGAGTTCCTCGTCTTTCCTTTAATCCACCACGCCACGACTTCCTACGTTCACAACACCCCTTTTACCCAATCCAAAAACTGCCAAACTTCAGTAACTCTGTCTTAGGTCAATTCTTTCCTCTAACTTGCCTTAATCTCCCATTCTACTGCGGTTCTCCGGATTTATACTGTTGTCCAGGTTTTCTGCAGCTACTCTCGGAGAAATCGTTTACTGCCATCAAAGTATTTCTTCGTATTGGCGTTCCGTCACGGTACTTTTGTTCCATCAACGTCTTTTTTGGCAGCACAACTTGCTTCTCCGTGACAAATGATTCTTCGCTTTGAGTTTCAGAGTCGCTTCTGCTGAAGAGTTCAGTAGTGACTGTGCTTCCTAAAGTTTCTCTCCTTCGTACATAAACACACACTCCGTACAACTTTGCAGCAACGTCAACTCCCTTTTAAGACCTACGATTTCAAAATCCTATGCAAATGCAAGGTGTCCAGTAAAAGAGCTATTTAAAAAGTCTAATGATTAACAGTTAGAACGGCTTACAATCAATATGGCTTTTAAGACATGTACTAATTTACATTAGTAAAATCCAACTAGTGGTCTGTTATCAATGCTGCGTTCTGATTGGTTGAGCTACTACTAGGCTATATGTTATAGCCTACTATTAGCAAAAAGCGCGCGCTTTTTGGCTGCCAAAAAGGATTAAAGTCTAGCTTTAAGTAGCTAAAATTTATTCTCGATATTTTTTACCAACTAGTCGGATTTTACTAAAACAATTATTCCTCTAGCCCTCATGGCCTCTGAGTCAATAGCCCATTCGGGCTTGAGGAATAATTGTTAAATAGATCCTGATTAGAAATGGGATCACTCACCGTTTCTGGGAAACGAGAGATTTTTTGCTCAATTAAAGCGTGCGCGTGATATTGGGAAGTTTCATGCCGCAGACTTGCAACGACGGCTATAAAATGTACAAAAAAGTGTCATGCACGTGCAAAGTTGTCGTTTTGCTAATATAAACCGATTGCTTTTTTGCCGTTCTCGTTGCCGTCGCAGTCTTTTTTGCTTTATCTCTTCATTACCTCCAGAGAACCTCACGCGGTTTAAGACTGAAGTGAACGGCAATGGGATCAGAGGCACCTTGTTGTGGTGGTGGACTATCTGATAATTGTCTACTAATTATTCACTTCATATTTCAATTTTTCACAACCCCCAAATCCAAAATTTTCTCTTTTTCTCCAAATTTCAAACGTCTCCCCCCCCCCCTAAATTTTACACATTAAAAACTGCATTCGAAAAATCATCCAAAACTTCACAAATAACTGTAACTTAATTGAGTTATTTTTGGATTGAATGAAATCTTGGCTAGATATTTAAGAAAAAGGTTGGAAATCAACGAAAAATAATACTTTTAACCGTACTGCCCCCTTAAATACAGAGTTGAATGCTCTTAAAATAAACCAAGTTTAAAGAAGTCAATTTTCTTGGTGTTATTTTAGATGTTTTTCATCGTCATGGAAACCCCATATTTCTCAGGTTGAGAGCAAAATCTGCAAGTCTATTGTGGGCGCTATTTGTAACTCGAGTTTTTGTGTTACTAAGACAGTTTTGTGTACTACAGTACTTTATACGATTTGAACTACATACGCATGTTATAACAGTAAACTTGTAAGTACGTAAAATGGACCAGGAGACTTGAAAGTTTCCGCCTTAAAGAGATTCACAGAAAGCGATTGAAGATCGGCGGAGAGGTGTCCGGGATTTGAGATCTAGAAGTTTCGGAACATTTGTTGTAAAATTTATCGCTTGCCTCCTTCTCCTAGGATTTTCGAACATCTAAAACATGGTATAATTGCCTATTTTTAATGGATTTTTCCCTAATAAGGTCACCTAGAATTTTCGGGAGCCTTTTTTCTGGCTGAGATTTTCGAAAACGTTAGTTTTGATCCCTACAATGTTCGGATCACTAGACTTTCAGCTAGGAAATCCGAACAGATGAAAAATTATTAGGCGATAACAATATGCCTATATCTACCGTTTAAATACTAAAATACGTTTAACAATGCTATGTTTTAGTGGTTTTGAACCATATTCTCGAAAATGAGACTGCTCAAGTCCACCCCTGTAAAAATGGCATTGTCATCGTGTTTTCTTCGGGCGGGTTTTTTCTTTTTTTTTTCAGATGAAAAGATGGATTACTCCGTTTCCTTTATTGGAACTCAATTTTTCTAAATGCTAGTTATAACTTTAAAACCGTTTCCCAACTTCTTCACTAGGTGTATCACTTTTCTTACTCAGTCGAACCGGTTACGTACTAACAGCAAACTCAGTTTAGGTGTAACCACGAATGTGTGATGTGAATATAGTGTGGCCTCTGGGAGACCTACAATTATTACATTTTTTTTAGCTATTATTTTGAATCTTTCTCTGCCTTTTCTCCTTTCCTGTCTGTTCATTTTTTATTCTTATTTTATGAAGTTCACTTATCCTGTGTTATCACAGCATTCTCCTTTCATCTCTTCCTCGTTTTTCAGTTCTTTATTTTGTTTTTCCTCTTTCTTAGCTGCCTCATGTCTCCATTTTGTTCTTCTGTTTTGAAACCAAACTTTTACTTGTGTTTCGGACAAACCCAACATGGCGCCGATTTGAAGCCGCTCTCGTTTGGTGACGTACTTGGTTGCTTGGAAACGCTTTTCCAGGCCTCGCCGCTGCAGCTGCGTGAAGACTGGACGACACCAAGGACGGGTGGAAGTGCGCATGGGCGGAGAGTAATGAAAGGGCTGATGGGTAATAAAATTAAGGCCCTTATTCCACGAAAACGGGCAATGGACTTTTCTTTGATCTGGATTAAAAAAAACAAAATAAAAATTAAATAGAATGAAATAAACTAACGTACGGGCCGGAAGGGTAGTCAACACGGAGACCAGCAACGTTACCCCTAGGAAAGAAAAAGGACGCCGTACTTAACATTTTTACATTGCTCAAACGTAAATAAATAGCCAAGAAATTAACAACTTAATATTATCTTTATGACCTACCCCCAAGGTCGCCAAAGATGGGTTTTTTTCTGGCCCGATAAAATTCAATACTGCAAAGCTATCCACCGACTTTACTATGGTAAGTCAGTTTAGTTGTAGTTTTAGGCGAAAAAAAAAACAAAAAACAAAAACGCATCTTTGGCGACGTTAGGGGTAGGTCATTCCATGAGAAGGACTTAAGGATAAGATTAAGGTATTAATTTCTCATTTTTTGTAATCTACAATATCAGTTAAAAATTGTAGTTAATTTGCGTTTGTAAAAGAAACTTGGCCATCAGCTTGAAGCAGGAAAGACTGACTGTAAAGGAGATGCAGCCTACGCCAAATGTTCACATTTTTAAAGAGTTTGCTGTCTACGTTTTTAGGAAGGACGTGAAGGTAATTTCGTGCTAGTGGCCTCCACCTCGCACTTTTCCCAAAGACGGACAGAGGCGTGGTCGTCAACAGGTTTTATGGGGAAAATCTCTGTCTGGATAAAACTGCTGAAGTTTTCTGAGAATAACTAGTTGCATCAGCCAAAACATTAAATAATCAAAACATCAAACGGGTTGCATCGCACTTAATAAACGGCCACAGACTAACTCCAAACTGGCGTGCTTGAACAACGGAATTTTTTAAAAGTTAAGCCCTTTCACAGCATACAGTTACTGAAATAGCGTTCCTTGATTAATAACCAAACTTAATCTTCTAGGTAATCTTGATTGGACTGTTCATTGTCCGCATTATTCCCAAGGTTCTTGAACTGTCCGTAACAACGAGGTGTCATGCATGTATTAAGTTCATCCGTAAATCGAGGTTCGACTGTTTTACCTGCATCACTACCCAAGTCATTCCTGTTTCTATAAATGGCTTATCTTTTTTAGTCTTCGCCAGATTAATCTCGTACCATCACCATTTCTTTTTATTATGACATTAATTTGCCAACGTTATTTCACATACCAGATTAATCAACATTGCTACTCATTTGGATACTTTTTTATTTTTGAACAACTAATGGGAATTTTATAGTTTGTCGAGGATACCGTTGTGTTTTAAAAAAATATTTTAGAGGAACTTTCTCTGAAAATAAAATTCGTGACCACTTTATCGGGGAATCTCCTAGCGCCCTGAATATCTTAAAACAATAATAAACGAGGATCTTTAAAAGGCGTGGTTAGTCGTGGATTTAAGAAAGAGGTCGAGAGTTAATATCCGTATAAAAAAAGGCCTGGTTATTGCTTGTATTTTACAGTTCAAATTAAACACTCGGTCATATGACGATGTTTGCCATATCATTAGAAAAGATCCAGTTTCAAATGGGTCCACATAATAACAACTTCTGTTGGCCAGTTTCCTAGCAAAATATCCGTTTTAAAAGTTCATAATAGAAGATAAAAGTATCAAAAGATTATAACCTCATTAATTGCCCGTCGTATACTGTAACCACTTAATGATGAATGTGCATACCAAACTAAAAAAAATAAAAGATAGACTAATTGGGATTTCTACTTTTTTTAATCAGAATTAACTTACAAGGGATGATACCTAAAGATGAGTAAACACTTCATCGAGGAGGTCTTTTTAATCTTAGGTTGTGTGTTCTATATGTGGCTCATCAATAGCTGTATCGTTTTATTGTTTTATACAGGAAACAGTTGGTATCAATGATATTCAGTATTAACGAAGACAATGGGTGATTGGCTACACTGCATGGTTTAATATTAGTCCAGACGTATTAGTCGCTATTTTATTATTATTATTATTATCGTTATTTCATTTAGTAAACTTTTTTTCATGAAATGATCGCCCTTCTAAAAATTTAAGGTGACGCGAGCTTATTGTTTTGCGTGTTGGTTGTTTTTTAATCGCGTTTTTCAGCATGAACGGTTTCACTGATTTCTATGATTTCTGCGTTAATAAAGAACGGAGGAAGATAATGTTATGTATTTCTTGTAGGTATAAAATCATTTTGGATATCGGCATATATTTGAGACCGCATTTTTTCAAATAATGTAAATAGCTTCGAAATTCTACGACAAATTTTCCCTAACCTCAGCCAGGGTAAATAAGCCTCAGAGCTCTCTAGTTTTATATCTGCAAGTTTGAAGTCAACGATTGTCATATTTTTCTTCATCTTGATCCTGCTGAAAGATAAGTTAGGTTGGGGTTGCCGTAAGCAACGGCCGATCGCTGACTACCTACTTCAACTAAGTTAGAAAAATTATCTTTAGGTCGTGATCGCACCATAGTATCTAGGATTGAGCTCTTGAAATAAATATTGTTTCTGGCTGACATACTATATAATGTCCTTAAGGAGTTAATGCTACTATTCTCACGTTAGGGATATAACACGACACAATAAAAACACTTATAATTTGCAGAGTATTTAAACTCAGTTACACGGAATGCTTGCGTCAAAGTTTGCTCGATCCCCAGTTCGACCAAATTCAGGAATCATTTTCACAATAAATTCTCGATCTTCTTGTTTTCAATTACCTTACCAAAAGCAGCAAAATACTAAAACAAAAATCGGACCTCAGCTTTAATCACTTATCACTTAATATCTCACAATGTATCGCCTAGAAACGAATGGCCTGTTTAAATGCATACAGTTGGAGATCTTCATACACATAAATGTGAACAGAATCCGAAAATGTATAATTATAATGAATATTGAAGGAACAATCGGTTTTGTCACTTCCTCAAGTTCAAGGAACTTGATCGAGGATTGTTTGCATGAAGACATTTATTGCCGACTCCCAGCTTTCGGTTTAAGAGCAAATGATGCTCTCACCTAGTAGCTTACAGATCTTACAACCCGCACAGAAACGAACTGCCTGTTAAAGTAAGTATAGTTTGGACCAGATTTGATCGGATAGTTTTAGTAAAAGTCATTCGTCAAATGCACATACCACTGGCTCGAAGCTCTACAAACCGGTGAAATGGTTATGAGTTTAACCAGTTAAATTTATAGTCTGTCCCTATTATGGTCACCATGCATTAAAGCTACAATGGTTGGTTTGTTACTTATTTGCTCACTCTAATACTAAAAAAGCGGTTCTGAAGGCATTTGACTTTGGATGACATGAGGTTCCTGTGGTAGCGTTGTGAGAGGCAAGGGGTGGGGTTGTCACAATCATTAATAGCCTTAAACCAGTTCGACACCCCTACACATCGCTGTTTCTAGTTTTACTGGTTTTAATCAAATCGCTCCACAGCTTTAGCGTTTAAAGAAAAACAAGAACTTGAATTATTCTTATAACAGGAAATTGTAAACAGACGTTTGTCTTATCTCGCCACGCAATGAACTACATACCCGGAACATAGCAAGTCTTTGCGCAATTTACGCGGAATAATAATGTTAACCTCGTCTCGCAGAAACCTCGGTATAACGCGCAGGGACAGCTGGAAAATCCCCGCCGGGAAAAGTAACAAACGCTTGACTGAAACAAACTCAGTTTCGGACTCTCGCTATTGAGATACTTTCAATTTTCTAACTAAACCTAAAACAGACAGCAAGCTGCATATTTCTGCAGGATTCAGGCAACATTAAAAATATCACTTGTTTTTATCATCGTATTTGCTTATTATAATCGACTATTAGGGATTTTCAATCAATTCTTCAGTTGCGCATCAAGTGGAACTAAGCTGTTGAAAATGTAAACAACACGTTACTCCTCTAATGCAAATGTTTTCTGAGGAAATTCTTCTTCTTGCATCCCGCTACTGCGGACATCTGATTGATCAAGGAAATTTACACTCCCGGCGGCAATCAAGTGCGCAATAGGAAACTGAGTTCCACATTTTAACACATTAACCAGCGGTTAACGGATGGGCAAGTCTGGGAGTAAATAACAGTCCAAATGACTAGCGATGAATCAAGTGATTTGATTGCAATTAAAAGCTCCAAAATGCTCAATCACGTTTGTTATTTTGTACACTACAATCTAGATGAAAATTACTAGACAAATGAAGCTTGTTTGTTACTTAGTTTAATGTTATTCATGAACAGATCCTTTCGAAACCCGACTATACGCACTTCTCATGGCGAAGTTTACCTACCTTGTGGCCTATTAGTTCCGTAAAGTATATTTTCAATCCCAAACGTTAGTCTTTGGCATTTGCTTGGCTCACTAGTGTTGTCTCTTTTCTCGTTCGCAAGAGCGCTGTGTGTGGCCGGCATCCCATCTAAAGATGTCCTATATCCGAGGGTCGAGGTAGAAACAGGACAATTCATTGCCTGAAAAATGCCTGAGCAATGCAGAGGATGTTCCGTAAAACAGTTACATTGTATAAAGGATGATGAATTTAGCATGCTGTGTCCGAGGGCGACGCGTTAGCTTACAACTCATATGACATGGCAGCAGTTGTAGCATACAAAGTCTGCGGTTCCTCAAGCTACTTACAGACAGCACATGATATGAGATAATACCGAGGCACGATTGACAGCTTTAAAATTGCCTTCACTTGATCTTGACATCAACGTCTGTCTGAGCATAAGTTTTTTCGGCTATGTCACGGACATTCCAATAGCCGGATTTGACATCTTGAGTGAAACACGGATTCATTTGAAGAACTGGTAGGCAATTCTACCTTCGAGGCTTTTCTACTTACCGGTCAATATTAAACCAGTCCTTTCATACAAAAGGTACTAAACTGTGTGAACGAACATCCAGGCTTAACGGAACCCACCCTCATTAAATTGACCACATCAGATCACAGCCAATTTGTTCATGTTTTCAAAGGTTCATATTTTATGAGTATCATGTTTGAGTGTTAAACAATCAATCCATCACAGCAATAAATTAAATCCAAGCTCATGTAATCTAATTTTGGTTCGACAGTGTTCCCGGGACAACAATCAACTTAGAACGGGCTCATAAAAAAGGCTTCTTTAAACGTAACCGAACGTTAAATTTCCGCTGAAATGACATAAATATGATAAAAGCATTTCTTGATGTCGCTATATTAAAATCACACCAAGGTCCCAATATTTTGAACTTTTCAAGTTCGGTACCGTACGCGTGAAATAAGGCGCAGCTCTGTTCTCCAGAGATCCTCAATTGCATACAATGAAAACTGTAAACCTTTTAGTACAAAGGTACAACTTCAAACTAGCTTAAAGACCGTTACAGTGAGTCGATTTAATGAAGAGCCAAAGGACGGGCAAAATTAGTTCGCTATAACGAGGTTTCGCTATGTCGAGGTTCTTTTTTAAATATTTTACTATTATTGGGGTAAAGAAAATCGTTCGTTATATTGAGGTTCCACTGTATTAAATTGCAGTTAGGAAAACCTGTTTAAGGCGACAACCTCAGTAGAGGGTCTTGGAGGCTTAGAACAGGTAAACAGACTCAATAAACAGGGCAATTTACCTCGCGACTGAAGTGAGTATCTGCAGAGCTGGCTGAAGTACTTCCTCAGCAAATTGCGGTCAACGGCAAAATACAATCTTATGTTTGACTATTAATTTATTTAAATAATTTGTAATTTTTTGGACTTTATTTTTGACATGGTTCAATATGTTTCCCGTAAATGTTTTGCTATGTTGCCAAATTTTGAATGAGGACAAAGTTGACAGCAGGCTGCTTAGGGAATCTTTAAGTCCAGGTATTTTAATATCTCGCTCTATTTTTTACGAGTTGGAATTGGTTTACTTTTAGGCTATGTTAGGCCTGATCCTTGGCAAAAAAAGAAAACGAAGGCGCTGTATTATAGTCTATTGTTTACTGAAGAACGAGACAGACACAAAACAAGATAAGACTGGATTACATGCTTGTGTAAAACTGGTCGTCGTGTTTTTGTAGGTTGTGTAAGTGTTAAAATAATAAATTGATTTTTTTAAGACCGCTTAAATTTAAGTTACTTTTTCTTTAACGTACATCAACGACCTCCTCCAACGCTTTCGTCTTTCTTCAGTCTCGGATTCCTTCAGATTCGTAAGGAAGGAGAGTAGACTTAATTATGGATGGAATGCTTCCATATCCTGTCTCTGTTACTGCTATGAAAAAATCCTTTTAAGACAAGATGTCCCGTTCTAACGCTCGCTAGCAGCATGTAAAGAAACTTTAAGGCTCTAACTCTTCTTTTGACCAGATGATGATGGTTTCGAATGAGTACTACAGTATTCCCTATCATCATCATTACTGTTATTGTTGTTATTAGATTACCATTACATTTTTATATGTTGCGAAGTTCTCTTCCATTTGAAGTTTCAAATTATTCCTCTTCCTCCTCTTTCTCTTCCTTCAGTTCCTCTTTCTGGACACAATTGTTCGTTTTTGCTGAGCTTTGCTCCTTTAATTGTTTTTCTTCTTTCTTCTCTTTCTTTGCTGCCTCATGCCTCCACTTTGTTCTTCTGTTTTGAAACCAAACTTTCACTTGTGTTTCGGACAAACCCAACATGGCGCCGATCTGAAGCCGCTCTCGTTTAGTGACGTACTTAGTTGCTTGGAAACGCTTTTCCAGGCCTCGACGTTGCAGCTGGGTGAAGACTGGACGACACCAAGGACGGGTGGAAGTGCGCATGGGCGGGGTGTAAAAGGGCTGATGAGTAATGAAATTAAGGCCTTCATTCCACAGAAACGGAAAATCAGGAAAACGGAATTCCTGGTGTTCTGAAAAAAGAAAGAACTGACAAATTAACTAAAATTAAGTGATCACTTGTGACCTGAAAAATGATTGTCACGTTTCGCGAACGTCCTGCAGCAATTTTGACGGATAATTGCTAATGTGCAAGAAGAAGAAATACCACTTAAAAGATGTCGCCAGTAATCTTTAATATAGTTATCACCTTCCCAAAGCAAAGACGTGCTCGAAAATGCATAAGTTTCAATTACCACAATTAACACGAGTTTGTCAACCGCAAAACCGAGACAAACACATAAATCGCTCTGCATGCATTGTTAGCTTATCTCGGGTATCCGGCTTTACTTTCATTATAAGAATTAAACCATCGCTGACCTTTTAGTACCCTCAAAGAATTAAGCGTCCTGACAGACATATTAGAATGGGTACCAGTTCTAAGGTGGTTGTATCGCTGTTTTAATATCAACTCGTAACCAGTCGATCCATTTAAAGTCAAGACCGTACGTGCATTGAATGACAAGACAGAATCTTCCAACACTTGCTGAGAATACTATTGACATATTTTGGCATTCCGGGCGTCTTGAGCTTATAAGATGTGAAGGGATATTTCCTAAAATCCCTTTTAAGTGGTGTTAACTACCCCCAATGTTGCCGATTTTCCCCCTTGGTCTCTCGACTGAATGAAAAATCCCCTTATAGAAGGGACTCTGTTTCTTGGGGGGACTTAACTCAAGTTCAAATGGTTAGAGGTTTGACTCCGTTTAGGTTCATAAAGGAATATTTTATAGCATGACCCGGCACCGTGAACCAGATCAAACACTTTTCTGGGGGTCTTGTCTAGTTATAGCGCAGGAAAACCAGTGGCTCAAGTTTTATTTTCGCGATATCACACTGACGACATGCTGATGAAGACTGCGGAGAGGCGGTCTTCGATTCTGGAGTTGAACAAACTTTTATCTGTATTTATAAGCAATACCAATATTCATCGCTCAAGCGCATAGTCAACCATATTTTGCAACCCTTTAATCAAGGGTCGGAACAGACCCTGTTTGGGTCAAACTTGCATAAAATTGTGAGAGACTAGAAAGCGGGTGCAATTCCTCTTATGTATTGAGTTAAATTAAACAATGTAATGTTCAGTGCAGAAGACCAGAATGAACAACCACAGAAATTCTTGATCTCAATATAATGAATTCCGGGATTACCACGTGAGCGGGGAGTGATTTTTAAACCTTCAGGCCGGGATCAATATCAGTCGATCGAGAAGCCGAATGATCACCATCGAATTCGTTTTAAGAAGATTTCACTTGCTAGGCCGATTTCATCAAATATCACTTTGCAGGTATTAACAAATTTTAACACGCAACTTTTTTTAATCGTACCGGGAGATAAAGACATTTACAAATCTGAGCATTTATTATAGTAAGTGCTGTACCCAGTACATCCAGTCTTTGACAACAAGTTTGCGAAGATTTTGGTTTATGTTTTATTTTATTTACATGTCATGGATGTAGTACGTGCCCTTGCTCAAAATTCGTTTTGATAGTGACATTAGTCAACTGTATTTCTTACATCTCACCTGAGAAATCGATGCCCAAGGGCTGAACTTTGCAACTACAAGTCAGTAAGTTCGTTGACAGTCACAGTAGGAAACAGTGAGAAAATTAAAAAAGTTGACGATACCGTCGCAACTCAGAGAAAAAAAATACTAAACGTTCTTTTGCAAAGTAACTACGTTTTTTCGTGACTGTGTTATCGGAGAATCTTCACACACACAAAAAAGTCTGAAATAATAATAAACGCAGATCCTAAGGCGCGGTGGGGTTGCGGATATGTGAAAGAGGTCGAGTGCTATTAAATTTTTCATTCGCACTATCAAGACAAATAAATATAAATGCCTTCCACATTTACAGTGGCATTAGCTGAAACCAAACCCGGTCATTGATAAGAAATTTCTTATCAATTAACGATTACGTCTAGTTTTGATGATAAAATGAAATTTCTGACCTGCCTTAGAAACGAATCGCCCTGAACTGATTGGCAAACAAAAAACCATGTCGACCCAATGGCCGGGGTAGTAGCTGTTGTCAATTTACGTTGGCCATTCCTTTTCTCATAAATTTGAATAGAATACGCTGAAACAAATTTCTTGACTATAACTGTTCTAAAAAGGCCTGTTTTATATCCTCTCAATATTCAACAAACAGATCAAACAATTACTCCGTCTCGTTGCTAGCTAATAGTGTTGTCTCTTTTTCCAATTGTTTTGAGATTGGAAGCTAACACTCATTGAGTCACAGGTGATGATCTTTAAAGACCACAAAATTACAATACAAGTCTTTGCGGTATTTTTAGTTGCTGAGTTGTTGCTGATAGTAACACAAGAAGAATCTTTTAGAGTAAGAATTTGTATACCTACTAATTCAGGAAAAAAGACATTAAAATCACTAAAAATTTTTAAATTCCTATGTCGTGATTGCAGTATGATATCTCGGATTTGGTTTCTGTAGGGTATATAATTTTTATGGTTTAAAGCTATAATGCCCTTGAATAATTAAGACTATTAACGCATTTTGCGGCTCGACATTATAAAAACACTTACTGTGTATGTAGGAATTAAAGATACAGTTACACGAAATTGCTTGGTCGAAGGTTACTCACCAAATTTAACAAAAATTCTTGTGTACTTTACTCTAGTAGGTTGGTGTTTGAACCCATTTCAAACAGAAACAGAAAATGTTGAATTCAAATAAAGACAATTCAACAAATGCTTTTTTATAGCCTGTTCCAGGAGTTCAGACAGTAGAGCGCGGGAGAAAAATTCACGAAGGAAAAAAAACGAGGGGGGAGACTAGAGGGGGAAGGGCTAGAAAACTTGGAACTCGTGGTGAACAGACTGTCTGAAGGCAATTGGGTGAAAATAACGTTCTAAATGAATGATCTTCATGGATCATTCAGCCTGGGGGTACAATGTACTCCTTTAGACCCCCAGAATCTAATTCCACACTTAAAGTTAAAAGAAAATCAGTCTTCGATTGGAGACTGATCTTCCTCTCTTTCTTTGTGAGAGCACAGAGCCCAGCTGTTTTAGTGAAATAGACGAACGTACAGCTCGCAAGTTCACGGTTTATTTGATGGTCTCTCCGAAACTGCGTCTCATGAGACACACTCGTTGCCACTTTGCCAGGTCAGACTCACTTCAGAGCCTCGGTAGTTTTCTCGTTACTACCTACTGTAAATTAAGAAAGTACTTCTTGCTTCTGATGTTTTCAGCCCCGTTAAAGGTCGTTAAATGATTTAACGGGGCTGGGTGGGAAAACGGTTTAGCTCGGTAGTTTTGAAAAAAACTTTAAAAAAAAAGAAAGAAAAAACGGCTACAAAGCTCAAACCTCGCGTACCTCTTAGTTCATGAAATGGAGGTCTGAAAACAGTCGTTGTTTGACCCTCTTGGACAGTCTAGGTTACTTGTTTATAGGACTTATTAGTTTGTTTGGAAGACCTCTCTGGCAGTAAGGTTTGTTTTTGTCCTTGGGTGCCTCTGGTATATAGCAATTAGATCTTCAGTGAGGGCTGGCTAATCCTATCTCTTTTTCTCTCTCCGATTGGGAGAAAGAAGCTCAGTCTTCTTCAGTGCATTCGTATTAATTAAGACAGTGCCTCAGCTGAACAGGACACAGTGTTGTCTGTGGCCTTTAAGCCCCTACATAGATGTAATTCAGCTGAAAACTTCGTAATCAGAAAATATCGGTGGACAACTATTACATCAAACGAAAAGAAAATTGTGCTCTGTTTCTCAATGATATAAAAAGTCAAGCTAATGGACCCTACACGGCTCATCATCGCTCAGGATTTGTCGCTCGAAACGGCGAGCTATGTTGTTGTTCTGAACGGGTTGCAACCTGTTTAACCAGAATAGAGATCTATATTCTCGCTCAAGGCATGTCAGTTAAATGGCGTTTTTCAACATTTGACTTGGAATAGCACATTGTTGCTCAACCCCGGTGCTCAACATTTGTTGAAACTGAGCTGCTATCGTTTGTTGGAACAGAAATCACTTGTGTTACTGACCTATTGTGTGGATGAAATCTATTCAGATAAAAGCTCTTCAATAGCACCTTTATACTAACTCATAATTTTTTTTTTGGCTTTTCTAGCATTTCAACCTTTTTTGTGACTGAAGAGGTTTTGGTAGAGAGCCAGTTATGACAGGTTTTCCCCTCAAATAAATTTGCTTGTCTTTTGTTTCTGAGAACTACTCGTTTCACTTGTTGAATTATATGCCGTCTCGCGTTGAATCCCTCTAATATTACATGGCTACATACATATCAATGATTTGCTTAGTTAACACTTTTGTTTACTGAATGTATTTGTTGACTCTGGATAGAGGACATGAAACCAAGCTCCCCCCTCCCCCATAATTCCACAGTTACATTTCAGTCGTCTTTTTACTGAAAAGAAGCACACTGAACTGTATGTCTCCCGCTACTAAACAATGTCTTTGACCTTTCAAGTCTCAACGCAGTCTATGAACTGCTTACTAACTATAAAGAAGAACTGCTCAAATTGTAGCCAAGATGTAAAATGAATTTGCTGAAGATCACGTCAAACTAGTCAAGGAACATAGCGAACAGTACACAAAGTGACGGCCGCTGCGTTTTTTTCATGAGTCTAATAGCTTCATACATACCTGCCCTAATGCTAAAAGAGTGCTGTTTTCTGCGAAAGTGGTTACATTATTAGCAATTAAGAAACGTTGTTGTGGACGACTGGAAGCTCTTCAACATCGGATAAAGTTGCTCTTGGGTCAGTAAGGATTACTCTGATCAACACTACGGTTTATAGTCGCAGTGTTTGCGAAGGCTTCAGGCACGGAACGACTAACAGATTGCCGATGGATCTTGATGCGATAAATTATTACAGTAGACCCTCAGTCTTTAAAACGGAAAATCAAGAAACACTCACTGAAGTTCACGGGCTGGAATCAAGCTCCTGCTGGAAGGCTCGAGGAATCCGCTACTTCCTTGCTTAATTTGCTATTTTCATGTTTCCACGTTCTTGTACAAACTTCAAGCGCTGCAAACAATTACCCATTCAGCCAAGGAAAAGACATTTGCTATGAAATGTTGCGGCTGAAGAAAATCTTATCTATAACTGAATTATCACATATTCGGTAAATCAGTGCATGAAACTGAATATTTTTGCGATGACAACTGCGGAAAGATCACGCAAAAACGATTTGAGTCTCCTGCATTATATGTTTAGATTCCCGTTTCAATCCAATTTTATTTATGATTAGCCATAAGATCAGGCAATAAAATTCAATTGTATCCCGGAAGAACTCTCAAGCCGTTTAAAATTTACATTTAGTCGTCCTCTCACTGAACCAACTCTAAGGTCTTTTCTTACCTGGATGCGACGTTTTTCCGTGAAGTATGTTTTCGATCCCAAATTTAAGTCTTCGGCTTTTGCTTGGCTCTGTGGAGCTGTCTCTTTGCTCGAACCCAAGCGCGCCGTGTGTGGCCATCCCGTCTAAAGATGTCCCATACCCGAGATTCGGGGTAGGAACAGGACAGTTCCATGACGGAAAAACAGTCGAGCAGGGCATAAAAGGTACCGAAGCACAGTTACAGTATGTGAGTGAAGATGGGTTCAACATACTGTGTGAGTCGCGCGCGATTACAACTCAAAATGATATGACAGCTTTGATACCAGTAGCCTAATTACTTACAGACCTCCCATATTAAGAGCTAATACACAGGCACAATTGGCATTAAACTGGCACTTATCTTTGACATCAACGCCAAGGATGTATTTTTAAGGTTTTTATTGTTGCGTCATGAAAATTCCGAATGTGGATTTCACAACTACTTGCACAGATATCAATACCTTCAAGCTCTCAGACGGGAAAAAATTACTCTAGGATCATCGTCGTAACAAAATGGTGCTAATGTGTGAATTCTTTAGCGGTCACAAGAAAGTTCACTGGGTGTCTGTCTTATATAAAACCGCGAGAGCCCGCCCAGAAGTCATTTAAGAGGGAGGTCTGTTTAACATCAGATCACAACTACTTAATTTCATGTTTTCAAAGGGTCACGTTTTATGAGTAAATATTTGAGTGTTGAAGAATCACTCCTCGCTGAAATGAATCCAATATCGTTTCAAAAACCTTTTGTAATCTAATTTACCTCGGACGAACTGGATGATATCGATCAATTTTATTACACTGCTCATAATTATCGCATCGTGATTAGTTTTAGGATAAAGTTCTAAGAAGCATTTGTCGCTTTTTTTTTTTTTTTTACCTTGAAGGCATTACCAGCCTATCATAGCTGCTCTGATTTCATGCCTGATAAATTCGGCGCCATTCTGTCGCTTATAATTATGTTTTCACCATGAAATAAGCCATGAACCAAAATTACTGTACTAAGAGGAAACTTGCTCCCAATCCCCCACTGCCCATCTGTAACCCTTAAACAAAACAATACAATTTTGTGAGTTTCTTTGGGTATCAACGCTGCATTCACTGGAAAAACAATTCAAAAGGATATGGTTTTCTTCATCTGGGGCTATGGGTGAACTTAGACGTTATGGGGCTGGTCAGTGTACAATATGTACCGGGAAAGGTAACTACCGTGTGAACCCGTGTGGGGTGTACGCCCTTGTATAAGCCATATGGGTCTGTGCCGGAAACTAGGAACTAAGGACACTAAGACCTTGAGGTGTTTAAAGGAAAGGATATAGTGCAATAGGATACTAAAATATTATGGCAAGATAAAACAAACAAATTAATCATAACTATTGCAATTCCCTCAAATTTCATTGGTGCACAATTTACTTTCAATTATTTTTCACTAATCATTGTTTTGCCGTCATCGGACAGTGTAATTGGACTCCTGTAATAAGACAGTTACATCAGCCAATCATATCAAGTGCACGGGGGGGGGGCGGGCTGGTTGCAAATTTAAACATTTGTTGAATAGCCTGCGTAGCAAGCGTTTCCTCGCGAGGTTCGTCTAGAAAGCTGTTTTTTTGTTTCCTCTCTAACTTTCGCGCAATAACTCGATTGGAAACGCTTGCTACGCAGGCTATTTGTTGAATGGTGGCGAGCCGCTGTGCACAGTGACTGAAAATGTTGCTACCGAAAAGGGCCCTGCACCCTACCCCCTCGCCTACACACTTTTCTTTGTGCTGTCCCAACTAATACTACTCTAGACGTCTTGAACAGGATTAAGACTGAGACTACTACTTGACAGTGACTTGAGACTACTCGCTCCTCGATGCTAGGACTTTTCGCCAGGAGTCCCTCCAGCGAAATGTCCCATACTGCGAGGAGCGAGAGGAGATGGCTGTTTTCGCAAGCAATAGCCATTATGGTCATTATGGCCCTTACGCAGGCTAACTGAGAGGAAACATGGACATCTCTGAATTTCCGAGTCTCCTCACTGACATGTCTTCCTCAACCTGAGGCCATTGATTTTAAAAGTCTAAGTCGAGTTTACTATTCTAAAATTACGTTGTCTAGAACAACTACAAACTGGACTAAAGTCCTGTGACTCTTTCCTAAAAGCCGGAGAAATACGGCTTAAATAGACTCACTTATCTTGTGGTTTCAAGCTGTTACGCCGTGCGAGGAGAGATAAGAGGACAGGATATCAACAGGTGTCGGGGCTTGGTTAGTTCACACCTCACAGCGAGGCGTAAGTCTGAAAGCTAATAGATTTGTATTCGTGTGAGGTCTGTTAAACGAAGACAGTGACTCTTTAGAAACTGCGACAAGGATGAGCTCGCCGATGATTTATTGCTCATGTACTTTCTGTGGGGCAGCTCAACAAGCTGCCGCTACTAACAGCTTCCCCAGGGTAGCTTATGCAGCTCCAATGCAGGCGTTTAGACGTTCAAATGTGCAAACAATCGCTATAAATGGAGTCACATCACCTGACTCAAAGATGGCGGTCAAGAATCGAGAAGTTATTACAACACGGAAACAAGAACTAAAATTTGGGATCGAGAACATCCTCTACGGCTCGGCAAATACAGGTTAGGAAATCTGCTTTGTAAATTGATGTTTTTAGATGTGTTTAAAAACACGTGTAAAAGCCGACGTTTTGATCGAAATAATTCAGCTAAATCGCAGAGAACTGGAAATCAGGCCGAGGGGTCGGGTACTCAACGAATTTTCTACGTAGATACTTTGCCCCGAGGGCAAACCTCTAACCCTTATTTATTTCAACGTTTGACCTCCTCTATTTCAAAACGTGAAACTGTCTCTACAGACCCAGTAAAATTTACCCCTTTGAACAATTTCCCGTTATCTAAACTCTTGATTTATCATAGGGAGCATATCGTTCCACTCTCCCGGGTTGCCTACCTGCTTCTCTTATTTTTTCCAGCCGACTTTTTGTCGGTAGTTGCTTGGAAAAACATCCCTCTATATCTTATCTTTTATCACATCCCAACCTCTTAAAAAGCTACTTTTGTGAGCATTTTCCCCTAAATTATGACCAACTAATGTATCACTGACAATGCTCTTGATACAATATAATGCATGTCCACTTGGCTTTCATTGAAAAGCCAGGGAACGCGGACAAAGTTGGCCATGTTGAACCGGCTGTTCAAGTGAAGAAGTTTAGAATAACAGTATTTTAGACATATATCATACATGGCTCTTAAAATTAGCGTTGCGAATGTTTTTAGTTTCCTTTACAAATTGCTGCAATAACCGGTCATTCAGACACAAAGGATTCCGACTGGCTATAAAAAGAAAACATCCACAATAACATAGCTGGACACTGTCAAACACTAATCAACACTTCCTCCTTTGACAACGTGCCCAAACTCTTTGCTCGCGCACCCCATAACACGCCGCCCACGTGTCTTGAGGGAGGGGAGGAGTCAATTTTTTTTCTCTCGCTCAGGGGACGAGTTCAGGAGAGAATCCTTGGAAAGTGACGTGGTAGCAAAAGAATTCTAGCTGTTGTAGGGTTTTAGAGTTATGAGTTCGAACGTTATCGTCGATAAATAATGATCACAAAAAAATCAGCAGAGACAAGATGTAATCTTGCCTCCTTGCTTCAAGTATAAAGAGCTCGCGAGTGGGTTTTTTCTCTGGTAAGGGACTACGATGTTAAAGTGACGGCACATCCTTTCGCTTAGGGGTAGAAATTTAACAGATTTTGGTCTCACTTGCACTTAGGGTCTCGAATGTCTCCCTTCAGGAAGGAATGCCAAAATTTCGTCCATAATAGTATCACTTAGCTGACTTAGGGTTGTGCGTACAGAAATATCCTTATAAAAAAGCAACTGCCTTAATACTGTGTTGGAGTATTGTCTCCTTTAGGGGTCAAATAATGGCTGAGCCACTCCATGGTCTCCTTCAATTTGTATTCTCCTTTACGTTTTTTACTAGCATCGTCCCCGTCACTGTTCAGATATGGAAGTCTCTCAGGAAGGATTTGTACTTGTTGTTTAATATCCAACCTGTGAGAAAGCTCTCGGGGTTGGAAAGACAGGCACAGAAAGGCTTTTTCAGTAAAATGCAGCCTGATGCACGCTTGCTTGCGATTAACAGGAGCATGGCTTTTTCAGCACAAGTAGCGCGTTGAGTGTGCAGTTAAGAAGTAAAAGTTCTCGAGACTAAAAGCTCCTTTCTACGCTTGAACTGTGTGTCTAGGGGCACCCAAGACAGTTTCCTCCGAAATACATGCCACTGAAAACAATTTTTAGGCTATCCAGAGTACTTTTAGATCTCCAGAAATGCATTCTAAGCGACGCTATAAAATGTGTATCTGTTCGGTCATCCTAGGGGAACTTGAATCTTTTCGAAATTACAAGGGCTTCTGAATCAGTAATATTTCCCCGATGCAATTTAGATTACGAAAGTGAGAAATTTTCTCATTCCTCTCTGCATCCCCTTTTGAATCTGAAAATTTTAGGTTTCCTTTTTTTTTGCGAGAAGTAGCCTAACTTGGGCAGTGAAATGTGGAAAAAAAATTAAACACAGAAAATTGTGGGGAATTTATCAGATAAGCTTCGAAAATTGTACATGAATGAAACTGCAACTAGAAATTTTTAGCCGTCCTAAAGTAAAAAAAAATTCAAGGTAATGTGCTTCTCCGAACAGATATTGTACAGAAAACAGTCTTGGATGCCCCTGTGCGTCATTCTCGTTTCTTTTTTGCTTCCTGTTTAACTGGGTCAGTGTAAAAACGTTTAAACAAAACGACAAAACCACGACCATAAAACATGAAAATGTACATCAAGAAAAGAATTTTTGCTATTTGTGCTCCTGCTATAACTCTCAACAACTCTCAAGAAAACGCCGGTTTACCTACCCTAATTCTTTATCTCTTAGGATTTGAAGAATTAGACTGCAAAGCATACTCAAAAAAGTTTGCTTTTACTATTGGCTCAGACGAAGGTTTGAGCACTCAAAGCCTTATTGATCTCAAGTTCCCGTCTTGACTTCTCGTTACTCTGCAAAAAGTTCTTTTCTGTGCAGTACAATTTGTAGACTAGGTCCTTTAATCTTACCCGAGATAAACTCCTCGATCGGCAAAACTTGCAAAGCATAAGTTTGTCAAACTTTTCATCAAAGTTTGAGGTTTCTGTCCTTGATCAGTATAGCGTCTGACATCATTGCTTTCTATAGCAGAGTTTGAATTTTTTTTTTTGATTTCCACTGGCACTGATTTTTGCTCTTACCTACCAAGATCTATCAGGAACACCCAGGGAGAAAATAATGTCGAGAAAAAGTTCCGAATGAATTAAATCTTGGTCACCTCAAGGCTAATACAGTCTGATATGTCTGGATGGGAGTATTTGAGCCTAATTCTCAGGTCATTTCCGGGGGTCGTAATCTGATAAGTAGCAGAAAATAGTCCTGGGAATCTTTCTCAACAACTGTTAAAACTTAGTACGCTACTCTTAGTTTTAACCTTAAATTGCAACATTTTTATTTTCTTTCCTGAAAACTTAGGTTTTAGGACTCGTTTCACAATTGAGTGTAAACTCGCTCAAGCTTGTACCCTGCGTCCTCGGGATTGCCGGACTTTGTGTCCTAGCAGGAACCGTATTTATCTCGTGAAGCAACGCTCTTCCTCAAAAGGAGGAGGAGGAGGAGGAGGAGGAGCGTTGCTTGACGTGAAAAAAACGGTTGCGTGGGAGACTATAAGTGTTGGAGAGTCATGATAATATTTATTCGATTAAGCGCCCTGGGCGCTCTTAATAAATGTTTGGTCTTTGAGAGGGGGCGCTTATTCGAGCAATTTCCAGCAAAAGTGATTTTATTTTGCAACAAAACATTGAGATGTTCAAAAGGAGAATTTCAACCGTTCATTGAAAGGCTCTATAAAATACTAAGAAAACTCGGTCTTTAGGGTATTTCAATTTCATTGCCAGTACTATATTTTTTGGTGGAAGGTGGCATGGGGTGGGCGCTTATTCAAGGATGGACGCTTTTTAACTTTCCTGCCAATAGGGTGGGCGGTTATTCGAGGTGGGCGCTTTTTCGAGGTGGGGCACTTAATCAGATAAACACGGTAACCAGAGTGCGTTCGCTAAACTCGCTGGCGTATTTGACGTATTAAATAGGAGCGGTTGCTTGGTGTTGAGGTGTTCAGTTCCCCAAAGATGACCCTCATTGATTAACTTAACGGTTTGTAACTGACTTTTGTTTCAGAACAATGTGGTCCAAACTTTACTCCTCAGAGTACAAACAGGAGGCCGAAATCTGCGGCCTTGTCTCGTTCAGTGTTTACAGATCATCAGCGTATGACCTTGGAAAACCACTTCCAGGCTCGACACTACCTAAGTAGACGAGAAAGATACCACTTGTCTCTCTCTTTAGGACTCACGGAACATCAAATAAAAGTGTGGTTTCAAAACAGGAGGGTCAAGTTCAGAAATGGGCAAAAAGCGGAGGAGCATAGAGCAAAGCTATTCCGTAGGGGAGTAAGTCAGTAGAAGATGTGGAGAGAGGATTTTAACGGCAAGGAAAGGCGGAAACTAACTTTGACTAAGCTCTGCTTGGCCAATCTCAAGTCAATTCATCCTGAATTTCTAACTTGGCTTCAACTGTGAAATGTGTACAGCTGAAAAACGATAATCGAAAATTTAATCGTGTAACTCGAGACCTGGGTTATAATAGGTTGTTCCTTATAATAGGAACCTGAAAACTAAGTCTATTCTCCTCCTCCCGGCCACCACTGTTACCACTGGAACTAAGACCACACTTAGCTTGACTAGGTTTTGATAGATTGTGCTCGCAAAAGTAGCATAATATGCTACTAGCAGCGCTCATGTATTTCTAAAATTATGCCAATAATTAGGCTAGTTTTTGTAGATTTATAATCATTTTAGTAAAAAAACTGCAGGATTAATTATGCTCAAAAACTATATGCAAAGGGCAAGTAAATGGCATACACATTCACCATATTTACAACTAGAAACTTGCAAAAATTATTGTCAGGCAACAGTTACTATAAAACTCAAACAATTAACAACAGCACGCGGAAACCATCTTGGGTAACACATGCGTTGAGGAGTTCTGTAGAAAGAATCCTGTGTCACTTTCTGTGAGATCCAGGTCAGTCATGAATGTGACAGTACAATAAGCTGTCAAAAAAGTGGTTTTGTTACTTAAATTTGCCTGTAACACTAATCTCGGCCCAAAAAATTGGTTGCATGATCAACAAATGACCATTTTTGCAGCAAAACTAGCTTAAAGTATAAACTATGCTGGCAGTGCTTTTTTGCAATAAGCAGATGAAAGTTGTGCTCGTTATGATGAATTATGCCTAAAATTATGCTAGCACAATCTATCAAGTCTAAGCTTGACGAGTGTCCGCAACTAAGCAAGACGTGATGGGTCTTAGTTTTCTGGGTTTATCCCAATGGTCCCCCGTCCCTCCACCACTTTCTTAATAGCAATGATACAAGTAGCCTGCAGACCAGTCGTTTTTTATTTAACGAAAGCTCAGAGATAATTTGATCGCGGCCGCACTATTCAACCTCGTCCTCAGGGCTTTTCCCTTAAAAGGCCGTTGCGACGAGGTTGCGCATTCTTAAAAGCAATTGCAACGTGCAAGAGAACATTAGTATCATCTTTCGCTCTGCAAAATGGGTCTGCTTTTACAGGCTATGATACAAGTACAAGGAAAACCGGTTTCTGTTTAACTAGACTGGCACAAGTAGGACAACGGTTTTGTTTTCATACGAAATAATAAAGTTACAGTTCTTTCCTTAAAAATATGATTCTAAAAAAATCTGCATGCGAAAAAAGAGAATGAACGTAATCTCACACTACAGTGAAACCTGTTCATGGGAAACCCTCGGGACCACCCTCGGGACCAGGGTAAGTGTCCCCTAAATGGAGGTTGGGCTAGGAAATGTTAATAATTTACCAACCTATAAAATATTTTAAATTTATTCTGCCTTATAATCTGCTGCATTCACTATTACAAACAGCTAGATGTTATGTATAAATAAATCATGATTTACTTTTGTACTTTTTTTTTACTTACTTTTTGTTAGTAAATGGCAGTTATTGTTCCTTGTCGTACTTTGACTTTGAGCGATATGGGACTAAGTTTAAAGTTCCACAAAAGAACGCTTAGCGGAACAATAGCTCGACCAGCTTGGCAGGAACTAGAACAACAACCGAAGCCTGTAGGGCTCCTGGGGAGGGGCGGAGGGGCGGATAGGAACATCTTATAAAGGCCCATACGGGGAGGCTCCCCCCCGAAGGGGTGCCTTTTTCAAGATCCAGGTATACGTATAAAAGGGCGGGGGGAAATCTGTCAAGTCTGTCAAAGGACTTATAGGGCTAGCAAATGCATTTTATGGCTGTGAAAAAGATAAAATTTTCTGGTTTAGCGATTTATTCATCTTTTAAGGACGGTTCATTTATAGCGGTAAATTTTGTTGAGTACCGTATCAGTATTTATTGGAATAAGCGCACAACCTCGAATAAGCGCCCAACCTAAAGGCAGAAAAAGTTAATAAGCACCCAGCCTCGAATAAGCGCCCGCCCCCACCCCCACCTCTTCCCAATCAGACTCAAATAAGCGCCCACCCCCGCTCCACCAACTTGAATAGATAAGTACTAAAATATATATAAGAGACTTCCCCGAAGACGGAGTTCTCTTCAGAGTATTCTACAGAAACCTTGCTTTGTTACTTCTTCGCGTTTTGTTATTAGCATTTATTGTTTTGTTGCAAAGTAAACATACTACGCTTGCTGAAAATGGTGAAAATTTAATAAGCGCCCAGCCTCGAATAAGCGCCCACTCTCAAGGTCCAAAAATTTAATAAGCGCTTAGGGTGGTTAATCGAATAAATACGGTATCCTCCTGTGGTTGGGCTGCTCCAGTTTTCCGGGAAATCCATCCTAGGGTTAGAAGAGAATACTAGATATCAACTGATATCGAAGGAGACAATTTTAGTTTTTAAATTGCCATGCAGTTCCCTGTTTGTAAATAGTGTTTGGCCAGGGAAGGCGTAATGGGGTTGGGGATGAGGGTGAGAGGGCTTGTAGTTTCTTTTCGGTTCGTCACTAATGAAAAGAGAATCGAATATAGGCGTCAAAATGGCGCCAAATTTATCAAAATTGTAATCAGAAAAGAAACTGAGTAGGGGGATGTGCTTTCTATTTTTAAAAATAAATACAAAAAATGCTGCTAAGCACTTTAACTAGTAAATATCACGAGACGATAATTACGAGGAAAGTAATTAAATTGATGATTATCGTTAAGTTGTTTCGAGGCAAATTAGATTACATTAGTGAGCTTGCTGAAACGATATTGGATTCATTACAGCAAGCAGTGATTCTTCAACACTCAAATATTTACTCATAAAATGCGACCCTTTAAGTAATCTGATGTTAAACTGACCTCTCTCTTAAATCAAAACAGGGCGGAGTTAAATGACGGTTCACGTTTTACATAACACAGACACCCATAAACGTGTTTGTGACCCTAACAAATTCACACATTAATACCTTTTTAATTGGTTGCCACGTTGATCCGAGATTTATTTTTCCGGCTGAGAGCTCTGGACGCAAAATTGAACAAGCTTTTCACAACCACATTTGTTATTTTCACGACCCAAACACACACACAAAATCTTAGAGACAGGTCCTTAGAAACACATCCTTGGCATTGATGTCACAGATAAGTGCCAGTTTAATGCCAATTGTTCCTCTGTATTAGCTCTTAATATGGGAGGTCTGTAAGTAATTAGGCTATGTGGTATCAAAGCTGCCATATCATTTTGAGTTGTTATCGTGCGCACCTCACTATGTTGAACCCATCACCACTGACATTCTGTAACTGTGTTTCGGTGCCTTTTATGTCATGTGCTTCTGTGTTCCCACCATGGAACTGTCCTGTTCGTACCCCAACTCCAGGATATAGGACATCTTCAGACGAGATAGTCACACAAAACGCTCGTGGGATCGAGCAAAGGGACAGCACTAGCGAACCAAGCAAAAGTCGGAGTCTAAAGTTTGGGATTGAAAACATACTTTATGGAACAAACTCGCAACCAGGTGGGTACGCTACTCTGGTGCGTTAGCACTAATTGATTGAGGGGACAATTCAAATTAAGTTCAAGTTCTTCCGGAATTCGTCTGATCATACTAATGGCTAATAATCATAAATAAAACTGATTAAAAAGAAATCTAAACTTCACATTTCCTCAGTATTATAAAACAATTCATTCCGTTCGTTTTATTGCGTGATCTCATTGAGTTTGCTATTATGTGATAAGATAAGCGTCTCTTTATTTCATTCGAAATAATTCTTCGGGTGAACTTAGAAATTGTTACTCAGTGCAGCTATGATCTCCGTGTAAGTGATGGAGGCTCGTAAAGGAACGTAGAAACACAACAAAGGCAAAGTTAGAAGGAAAGTACACAGTTTCCTTCACTTTTGGGGAAGTTGCAGCAACGACTCTCTTCAAGTTCCTTCCACGTAATAATCAACGTAGCGCATCAAAATCACACTAAACTGTGCTGCTCGTCACTGACTTCTTTAACATTTTCGTTGCGCGCCTTTAGTTTTGTCGGTTTTCAAGAAGGGCCTGTTGTGTCATGAACTGTGATTGCATTTTGACAGTAATTTTTCGCTGCTCAAGCCAATTCACTCGATCCTGTGAAAGTCCATCGAAACTGACAGAACGTTAGAAAGCTGGTACTTCTTGGCTGAGCAATAATGTCGCTGCCGTTATCTTTGCTTTTCTGTATTCTTCAGTTCGAGATGAATTCTTCAGACTCGTTTACTGGATTTAAATTGGTTCACATTTTTTTAAGGCACAGGTCCTGAGCTGAGCAACGTCATCTGTGTTATTTATCAGTCGCCCGAGAAAAACAGTTTACTCGATTCTTCTCGGCGCAAACAAAGACTGGAATATTGAAAGGCTTTCAGGACTGAGGGGTGTATGTGCAAAAGCATAGTCTCACTCGAAGAACAATTACGCGGCATTCGGTAAACAAGGGCGCTAATATAGTTAAACAAGCCATTAGTTTATTTATCACTATTATCTCCATCAAACATCCTATATAAATAAAACCTAGGTTATTGTCAGAGCAGAGTTGTATTCGACAGTCACACCATTTCAGGATTTCATCAACAGACTCAAAAGATAACGAAATGTGCCACTTTGCGCAACATATTAAACATGTAACCGATAGGAAAGTACTGCTCAGTGCTTTTATTTGAATGGTCAAACTTCAGGATTTCATCCACAGTCTTAAGAGTTAGAAACACCTTGTCGAACCAGGCACAGCAACATATTTAAGTGGCTTTCATTTTAATTGTCACACAGTCAGCTTTCGCGGGATTTCATCCACAGACTCAACAGTCAGTACCAGGCACCTTGTACAGCTTAATATACAGTACCGAGAGAGAATAATCTAGATTATTTTCTCTTGACAGTACCACAAGAAAGTACTGCTCCATGGCGACTTTCACTTAGATGGTCACACTTTACTTTAAGAAAAAAAAAACCCGGCCCTATCTCTTGAGTTGAATACTGATTTCATTTACAAAAGGGAGACAAATGTTAGAACTAAACATCTGTACCAAAGAGTTCTGCCGCAAAGGGATTTACTTGAATTGCATTTCACATCTACAGGACTACATATTTTGTGACTAAATATTTAAATCTTAACGCCATTGGATTAATCAAGAGTGTCGTTTTGAAATAAGGTCACTAAGACTTTCCAAACGATCAAGGAAAGCTGGTAAGTTGAAAGGGTTTCTATACATTCAAGAAACACTGAGCTGGGAAGTTGGTGGCGGGGGTATTAGACAAGGGTTTCTACATATTTCTACCTCTAACCCTTTATCTTAAATATTTGTTTTCGTCCAGACTCAGTGTTGCTTCTTAAGCTTTTAATGCAAGTTGGACAATGTCATTGTTTTGCCGTACTTACAGTGTACTTAAGTGAGATGAATTCAAATGCAGTCTCTCGTTAACTGTCCCCTTTATTAGTTAGAGCCTCTGAAGTACTTCATATTCATTCTCTCTTTCGTAATATTACCAAATAAAACCCAATTTCCTAACAGCTTTCTCTAACAGCTTATTTAAATATGTGCATTTCTTTATACAAGCTCGGTCACAAGGCTTAAAGAAACTACCCACGAACAAGACATCTTTACATAATTGTTTTCTTCTGTCCCGAGATCTAATAACAATGTACTGTGCCGTCCAAATGAGCTGTGAGTATCACGCAGAAGAGCTTACAAATGTGTACATTGTACCCGAATGAGCTGAGAAGGTCATAGTTAACAGTCGAACACACCGTGGGTTTAAATTGTCTTCACGATGAGTGTGTACCAGGTGTGTGTTATTGTGCTTCATTTATTTTAGGCGTCGGCTAGAAATTGGTTTCTAACTTACACTTCGCAGAGTAAACTACATTCCTGTTGAATTTGGTTAAATTGTGTAAGAACTAAGGCGTCACTTGAAACAGTTTCGTGTAACTGTATCTTAAATCCTTACAGCTTGCACACAGTAAGTGTTTTTATAACGTCAAGCCAGAAAATGTTTTAACAATCCTACCTTTTCAAGAGCATTACTAGCAGCTTTAAATCATAAATTTGTTTATCTATAAGAAACCCAATCTGGGGTACTACGCTGCGATCACGACATAAGAATTTCTCAAAATTCTGTTGGATTCACTTTAAAGTAAACTGAAAGCATGCATCTTCGATCTCCCCTAAGATCCTTAGCGTAACAGCTCATGCTGTACCCTTGTGAAATGTAGTCCCTTGTCGAAGGTTGTTAGATCTCTAAAAGAAAAAAGAAAAGCGCGGTCTTCTAATGTTAATTTTTGCAATCTCAGACGATTGTTATCTGCAAAGCTTTTAAAAACACGGTGTTTGCTCCCTTTTTTCAAACGGAATTGGCGAAAGAGAAACTTAATTACATATATAGTCGCATTAAATATACTAATGGCTTCATCTTTTTAAACATTTTTAAGTGGATAAAAACCAGACCTTTTCAGGGAACGGATACATACAGTACATAGTTATATTAGTTAATAGGCATTTTACCGTATTTTAAGATGTTTAGGAAAAATCAGGATCGCCAACGTAAGCTATATTAGGGGCCGAAAAAGCTCTTAGCCGGTTCTACACACTCTAGAACACTAGGCCGTTTTGGAAACAATAGTTGAAAGCGACAAGAAATTTCTCATTATCAATGACTGGATTTAGTTTCAGCTTATTTGCCCGCGAAATAAAAAGCATTTGTTGTCTTGGCAAAAAGTAAGATTTAATAACTCTCGACCTCTTTTAAATATCCGCAACCTTACCACGATCCGTGTTTATTATCATTTAATTCAGTCTCTTTTTGCATCTCAGAAACGATTCTCCGATAACACAGTCACGATATAGAGGATATTACATGGCCGCGCGGAGATACGAAATTTCTCTTCGAGTGTTGAAAAATATGCGCGAACGAGTGAAATATTTTTCAACACGAGAAGAGAAATTTCGTATCTCCAAGCGACCATATGCATGTAATATTCTATTTATTATATAAACACCAATGAAATACCAAACCATTTTACTTCAACAGATTTTGGTATGAAAGGTGCGATTTATTATGTAGCCATTCCAACGGTGATATTTTCACATAGATAACATGTTATTTTCACATGTGAAGATATCAAGTTTTCGCGCGAAAGCTCACTTGGTATTTCATTGGTGTTTATATAAATAAAACTCATTTCTTCATAAAACAGGGGCACCCAACGACAATTTTTGGAAAATATCCGTTCGGAAGACGATTTGAGATCTAGAATTTTCGGAACATTTGTTGTTAAATTTCTTCCTTGCCCGCCTCTCCTCGGATTTTCGACCCCCTCCAAAAAGATATAATTGCCTACTTTTAACGGATTTTTACCCTAAAAAGGTCACCTAGAATGTGCGGGAGCCTTTTTTCTGGCTGAAATTTTCGAAAAGGTAAGTTTCCATCCCTATAATTTTCGGATCACTAGACTTTCAGCTAGGAAATCCGAACAGATGAAACATTTTTAGGGGATAAAAATATGCCTATATCTCACGTTTAAATACTAAAATACGTTCAACAATGCCATGTTTAAGTGGTTTTGAACTATATTCTCGTTGGGTGCCCCTAATAAACGTACTTTGCAAAATAACTCTTTGTGTGTTTCTTCTTCGTTGAGAAGGTATCGTCAACTTTATCTTCGGTTTCCAAAGACCTCGAATTTTATAAGGGTGAGAGTTGACAAATGTCAGCGTTAATGGCATATCACATGATTGGAAAAAACACGAAAAACCAAAACCTCTTGACGAGGAATATTGCCGTACTTGGTACCATCTGAATGATGCTCTGAATTTAAACGGCCTTTATCGCTGGCAACGATTTTAAAAAATTGTGTTTAAGGTTTATTAATAAATAGTTGCAAAGTGATATTTGTTAAAATCCTTCTTTCAGGAGAAATCCTCTTTCAGTATTAAATTTGATGGTGATTGAAGTATCGAATGCTGATCCGATCCCAAAATAGCTCCTTTAGTCATCGAATGGCATTAAGTTCCTTTTTCGTATTTTTTTTCTTTTCCATGAAATATTTGGAGCTTCAAAAGTGTTTGGTCTGGTCCCCCACTTTTTACTCGTCATCAATATCGACAAAAAAAGAAAAGGTTCTCAAAAATGTAAAATATTCTGTACTTTAGTCACTGTAAGTACTTGGTGAAAGACCCGGGGCGGGGTACTTTCTTGTGCGAACTACACGGAACCATGAGATAGCAACTCTGTACATAATACTGTTAGGGATTTCTGCTCTAGATGTAGTTCAAAATAACACTTTATAGAGTGTCGAGAACAACAGGGGTCTGATTTTCCGCTTATCAATCCTGAGATCAAAGTATAGCAGCGTGATTGTAGCCACCTAATACTGTTTATGCATTAAGCTTCAAGATTTACTTCCGGGACATGAATTGTCAGTTTAGCAGGTCATAAGGCAGTATGCACTACGTGAAACACTCTTAAGAAAGCGTTGTAACTTTGTTCTTTGCATTCTTTCGTTTTAGCATATACGTATGGTATTCAGATCTATTCAGCAAGGTTCATTCTTGTCCTTTTAGGTCATGTTTTTAAATTTTTAGCATTACTGGTGATTTTGTATAATAGGCCGTTAGAAGTAAATCTCCTCACTAAATGATACCCATTGTTCTCTTTAGACACGCTTCAGCATTAGATGCAGTCTAAACTAACGTGATGATAGTTTCTTAGGGAAAACTACACTTTAATCTGTCACGTAAAAAAGACGACGCCACTTCGAAGCTACTGTTATTAACCTTCCTCTGCCAATTTATTCTTTTTGCCTGTTAAATATTGCAATCTTTGAAGGACGCAGGCTCATTATACAAACCAATGATAAACTGTAGGACCCTGCAAAAAGCCGAGTATACTTGTACAGTATACAGTTTTCTTTTCAGGAAAGAAAAATAAAATCAAACAAAAGGTGGCGTCGTTGGAGGTAGTTGGTGCCACTTCTGAGAGATTTAATGAGCCTAACCGTTTTATATTTGCTTATTTATTTGTTTTGGCCCTGAGTAGTTCGGGTTATGTCCAAATCTCTCAGCGCAAACTGAAGTCTGGTTGTATACGATTAGCGTTAAAAAATTTCCCCTTGAAGTGAAAATCGGCGATTTCAAGAATGATTCAACTGAGTGAAAATTTAAGCCAAGTGACTCCGTTTGTTAATTCTTGCAGCTAATTAACTACATAACATGTGCAACATTCCTCTTAAGAATATTAGCAAAGGTCAGCGATGATTTGATTCATACTGCAAAGTTTCTCTGGCTTAAGCTAAGCCGGAAATAGCTGATATCAACTAACAAAGCATTAGGAGTGCTTTACGTATTTTCCTCGGGGTTGCGGTTGACAAACTCTTGTGTCAATTAGGTTAATTGCCTTATAAAATTTATACTAGAAGGTTTATATGATAACTTGGCAATGTGAGGGAGATGACTATGTGAAAGATATACCAACTTAAGAGGGATAGTTCGGATTCTTGCATGTAATAAAAATTCTTATTTCTATTTAAAACTATTATTTTCAGAACACCCAGAAGTCCATTTTCCTGATTTCCCGTTCCTGTGGAATGATGGCGTTAATTTCATTACCCATCAGCCCTTTTACTCCCCGCCCATGCGTACTTCCACCCGCCCTTGGTGTCGCCCAGTCTTCACGCAGCTCCAGCGGCGAGGTCTGGAAAAGCGTTTCCAAGCAACAAAGTACGTCACCAAACGAGAGCGGCTTCAGATCGGCGCCATGTTGGGTTTGTCCGAAACACAGGTGAAAGTTTGGTTTCAAAACAGAAGAACAAAGTGGAGACACGAGGCAGCAAAGAAAGAGAAGAAAGAAGAAAAACAAGACGAACAAAACTCGTTAGAAACGAACAATGGTGTCCAGAAAGAGGAAGTAAAAAGCGAGAAAGAAAAGGAATACGGATGTGACGAGTCAGTTTTGAAAAAGGTAGAGAACAGTCCATAATTAATCACATCAGCAATTAACAAAAAATAATAACAATCTGAGATGGGAAAAGAAAAGAAGGAAGAAAGCTAGAGGTTTTACATGCATTGAGCGAGGGTTAGGACGAACATTAGCAAAAATTTTAGTTTTAGACGCAGTCTCGATCTTTTTAGCTGACTTCGCTTCTGTCCCCATCATCAGTGACCATTGGGGTAGCTTTTTCTACACTAGTAAACCAATTTAGCAGAACCTGAAAACCATCTCCACAAAAGTAGAAGAGTTTGTTACTTTTCAGTCAGATGCTTTAATGTAAAGAAACTTTCTTTTGGCAGAAAAATGAGACTGAAAACTCGCTAAAACGTACTAAACAAAAATGAACATTGCTGTCACTCGCATATTTGACGGGCTGTGGCCAGTTGCGGCATGGTTGAGAACGATGTGAAAAATTGGATTCATGAACTGTTTACACCAAAATCTGATTTATAGAATAGTCAGAACAGGCTCCTTTACTAGAGTGTAAGAGGGGAAATAATTTCTGCGGGAAAAGCCGCTCAGAATTGAAGATCACCGACATGGCTTCGATGAGAGCCACGGATATTTTTTATTTACCTTTTCTGTATATTACTGGATGAGGACTTTGAGGTTTCTGCTGAGGCTTCGCCAGGGCTAAAAGTTGTATTTTTTGGCGGTTTCAGCCTCAAAACTACCTAAGATGTTGTATAATTGAATACGTGTTGAAATATTTCAATAAAATAATACCGACGAAAAACTGCGTTTTTATTTTTAGGCATATTTTTATGTCCTCTTATTCAGACGGCCATTAGTCTCACGTGAACTATACTAATGTTATCAAACAGTTAACATTCTAAATAATTTTGTTACGTTGCTTGTTCAAAATGGATGCCACAAAATGTTCTCAAGTAAACCGCAGACCGACTTATAGTCTTATAAAACAGTCAGCTAAAGATAGGCGTCTGTAAAACGAGGACCGATACATGCGGACAGCGGATGCGAAAGGCGGATGGGAATATTTGGAGGAAAAAAGCAGGTGGAAACAAGTGATAACTTCCAAAAATTCGAACGAAAAAAAGAAAAGAAATGAAAAAGATAACTGTGATAGCAAATAAATGAAATTAAAAAAGAACATAAAAAAGTGAAATTGGGAACGAATAAAGGACTGCGAGAGGCTATCTGTAACAACAGACAAACTAACAATCAAACAAACAAACAAGAATTAAACAGTAAAACGATGGTGGATGGAATCAAAGAAAACTCGTGGGGAACCCGTGGAAAATTGTGTAGAAAATCCTCTTGCCCCATCCCACAGCTATGACCCCAGAGATTTCGCGCCGCTGTATCTCACTGTGAACCACAAACGAAAAACACACCAAACACACCAAATATTAACTACCTGCTAGGCAGGCTGCTACTAGTAGTAGAGAAGTGAACTGCTCGGGAAGCAACCGACTTTTTTGTGCCACACTTTATGATAAAAACTACTGATAAAAGGTACAGGTTGTACATTATTTTCAACGCCTTGATAAATTTCCAAGCTTAATACGATTCACTTTCAGTGAAAAGATTACTAAGAACTATAATTCCTAATTATGAGTATTTAATTGCAGGATTAAGCAGGAGTTAACACTTCTTAGACGTTGATACCACTAATAAAAATAACGTTTCAGCAAAAAATAAGTAAGAATTATAAACAACAATTTTTTGAACAACAGTACTCAATTTAATTTTCGAGTTGACCATGATACTTGACACGTACAGAAAATTCAATCGAGAAAAGGCCTTACCATCTGGGGCATAATTAGCTGGTTCTTCAACGTAAAACGCCTTTGAAAGTGACTTTTTGGAACAGACTGTAATCCATATTTCGACTTCTTGCTACGGGAGCCCCTGCTAGAGAATGCGAAGTCTGGGATCTTAGATAATATACCACGGGCTATACCATGCTAGACGAGGATTTACCGTCAACCTTCTTCCTTTGTTATGTTATAATTCCTGGAACTTTAAACCGACCCATTGCATATGATCGAGATACTTCAGTGTAGCGCACATACACAACCTAAAGAACTGTCAGAAACGAGGGTTCTCTCACGAGGATGCGTGAGTGAATGCACAACTCAGGAGCCCTTCGGCAACAACAAAATATGTCGTTTTCATTCGGGCAGTGAGTTCGGGTCGGAGCCGAAGAGCCGATCTCTGTCAACACAAAGTGAGCGAGCGACACATTTGCATATAGAAACCCGTCACCGAAGGGTATCCACGAGTTAAAGAACTTGACGATACATCGAAAGGAATGGAATAACCGAGTGCAATTCATCAAATGTTAGAATTTTCATGGCACACCATAGTTAAGACCTGTACAGCTAAAACCCAGGTTATTTCTCTACACCCCTTGTTGGAGGGGTGGGGGGGGGGGAGCTCCTGGACGAGCCCTCCTCTCAACCTCGCACTTTTCAATGCTTTTTTCTTTAGTTAAATATATACATACATAACTTTTACTTCACCTTGTATTTTACAGTAACTACAATATCTAATGTCTTCGAGAAAAGTATATATACATATGTAAGATCTCTACAACTGCATGGTAACGATAGTACAATACAAGATCCTCTATTGTACAATATAGTTGTTTTGTTTTTTTTTTTAATAAAACGGAGATATATCTAAACTATATCTATTCTTCATATTAAAGTTAGTAACCATCGGAAGCCTTTTTCTGCTTTTTTCTTTAAATATCTAACTCGCCGAGAGAAGATTGTTAAAGAAAAGCGGAATCTGCTCTCGCAGACTAGTAAACTTGAAAAGGTTTGTAAAAATGGACCTTAAACTCCCAGAAGTTTGAAGAACCAAATTTAAAAGGTATGTAGAAATATTGACAATTTTGGGCTCTAATATTTCCACGAAGTTTGCAACGGATTTTTTGTTCTTGAAACTTCGCAGTTTAACTACATTTTGATTACGATAAAGAAATCTATGGATTCAAGACGTGCTTTTGTTACATCCTCGGAGACGCAGGGGTAGCGAGAGAACACGAAGGCATCTTTGTGGGCGAAAGTTTACAGTCAACAAAACAGGGCTTTCACCACGTCTGCACCACCCGAACTAAAAAAACAAAGACCCGTGAGGGGGTCCTCTGTTAAAACAGACAGGGATGCTCGTCCAAAATTAAAATGTAAGCCTTAAAAGAAACCAACCTAGGCGCGGTTCTGGCTTTATTTGATCCCTGAAGAACACTATACTCTAACAAAGTATGACGGCCCTCGATTTTTAAACATTAGGACGTCTCTTCACGCACAACCCTAAGCGATACCTTTCTTGGGTAAAAATGTTGGCTTTCACTCCTAACGAAATTTCTTCTCGTAACCGAGATGACGCGCATCCCCGTCAATTTCATTAGGGAGTCCCCCGGGTCGGGGGGACTGGAGGGACATTCACATGCGTCCTCTTACGCAAGGTATTGATACATTAAAAGATATGCCTACATTCTCTTTCGTAAAATTGTTCTTTGTCAACGTTGCTACACACTGATTATCTAACATAAGAGTCTAATAATCGCAAAATAAATCGGTTCACACATTAATGTATACTGAACCTTAATACGATGTACTCCTGCAAGCGGTGCCGTGTTAGTCGCAGCACATTTCTTCCGCCAAACGTTTTCCTTTGACCAATTTATGATCCAGTGCGTCATATAAAACTTGATAAGTTGCATCTTTCCCATCTCTACTTTTCCAACGCAACAACATTTGGTACGCCTTCTCACTGTATTCATCCGGATTCTCTTTGTGAAATGTAGTTATCTCTGCTTCTGTAAACTGCAACCGCCGTCCAAGCGGTTTCCACGACTTACCAATTCTCTGTGACAGTTCCTCCAGATCCTCGTCAGATGGAGTGCCTTTCTTCACTGAAAGAATTAGACGATTACAATGTTTCAATAGACAGTTTCCGCATTGCTGTGAACTGAATGGCACCAACTCAAGGCTTGAGTTGATAAAATACAGGTGATTTGAAAGAAATTATGCCCAAGTCTTGACCTCGTTTTATTGTATAACTAGGTGGAGCATGATCTTCGGGGTGAGTATAGTCCTGAACAGGACTGTTGTTGACAGTGAATGACGTTTCGACAACCTGTGCGGTAGTCATCTTCAGAGTCAATGTGGGTTGTATCACGTATTAAACTCTGGTTATTGACCTAATTGGTCAATTGAGTCGCGATGTTATTAGTCGTCTTTCAATTAAGTCCTGATGCTATTGGCTATGAAGACACGAAATGTCATTGGTGTGTTTCTATCAGTCCTTTGGCACAGCTTAAGGCAGTCGTTTAATAGTTGTCGGTTGTCGAGTCCGGGGGAAGAGACGAGGTCTGGGACCAAGAAACGATGTTCTCACAACTTGCAAAGCGGTCACCCTGCGTGAGGGTCAGCGGATAATTGCACTTTTTCCCACAGTAAATATTTTTAGACTTTTTAGAAGCAAGAAGCGAACCGGCAGAGGAATTGAGAAATGTTTAAAAAATTGAAAAAAATAATATCATGCATCTTTGTTTTTCTTGCTTATCGTATTTGTCTTTCGGTACTGAAATTGCGGGGGAAACTAAACGCAGCCGTGTACCAACAACAACGCGCTCGCTCGATTTATAGGTTACATCGTTTTTGCAGGCAATGATAACTTGATGCTGATAAAAATTACTGGAGAAAGTGTCAAATTTATCGGAAGCAAGTATATTCAGAGAGCTTTATAAATATAAGCTTACAGCTCTACATATCATAACTGAATAAACATCCACACTTCATAATATTTCACTTCGTTTATTACGATCAGTCAACACCTTGAATCCTACGTTAAAATTCAAAACGATTCTAATAAACAAATCACAAGTTCTACTGAAAGCTCTGTACCTTGAAGCGACTTTAACTTTCCTAAGGTTTGCAGCAAAACACTGCTCGATAGCTCAACTCTTCGGCGATTCTTATCCGCTATACGGAGCTATATGTCGCATATTCCAAACTCTGCGGAGGGAAATTGTTGAACAGAAAAAGAAAACCATACACTATGTCTGAAAAGCGACATAAAATCAATAAAATTGCGAATTACCAAAATATAATAGTGAGAAACAGTGCCGCCTTCGACCGCCATGCTTTTGTTTCTTCTCAAGACCGTTGATTTATGGTTTTGACGTAATGCGCATGATCAGTACACAAATCCGCTGGCAAGAACCTTGCTGATCGCTTTGCAAGTTGTGACAACATCGTTTGGATTTCATTTAAGAGAATGTATGGGAAGTAGCTTCCCCCCCCCCTGGTCGAGTCATTCTGTCGTTGTTAGGTTTGCTTGAGTCCGCGAATAAGTCATTTGTACGATGACGGTTACAGTTGACTACGATTCTAAGTTAGTAAACCAGCTTCCTAAAGTGAGTCGTTGGTATGTGTCTAAAGAATACTTAGTACGTCGCAGAGTTCCAGTCGATTTGTTGGTGTTTCGTCAGTAAATGGTGCTCAGCAATCTAACATCTAAGTATTGACAACAGCATTTCTGGTCACTCGGAATGCGGGAAAGGTCTACAGAAAACGTCAGAATACAGTTTAGTAGAGAGCCAAGTCGACGCATAAAACATGAATACCAGGCTAACAGGAGGGCATTTTGCATGCGCATGCGTGTATCCGCTGAACGACAATAGCATTGGCGCATCAAATCTGATGGCGGGAAATAAAAAACTCGCGTAAAGTTACGGTCCTTTTAAAAGGCATTTCGTTGGTGCTTTGAATACCGTACTTTCCTACAAAAAATGGTCTCCACGACAAAAATCGGACGTTTTCTATAAGCGTGATTTTTCAGCAGTAGGTTTTCTTGACCTTTTAAAGACTAAAGACTCAACGCCAAAAATCACTTTTCCTGTATAAGTCTGATTTTCACTGGCAAAGCGATGCATTTCTTTGGTTTGATTTCCAAACTCACGGTCTTACTTTATATCTAGGAAGAAATGCATCGTAGCAATGTTCAGCTGCTTTAAGAAAAGCGAAAAAATTTTTTACTACGCGAGGTTTATTTATTAGCACGATGTCTCATGTTAAACTGATCGCAGAGACACGCGCGTTTATACCTGAATATGCCACAAAAACATGAAATCTATGGGTTTTTTTACAGGTTTTCGCGGAAAAAAAATATATAAAAATATATTCCACAGGAAATGAAGAATGGATTGACTCTGAGACAGTAACAATTGCATGTGACTATGTATTAACTTGAGAATTTCATAAGCTGACTTGCAGACAAAACAAATGCACATACCCCGAAAAAACGAATACTTTTATTTTTCTTTAACTCTAAAAGATACAGAGATTTTTCTAAGCTACTATTTTGAGACGACTCTTGAGTAACAGCTCCCGTGTTCCACAATCGATTTCTTATTTTTAATTTATATTTGATGACAGTAGTGATCTATGGCGGCAGAGGACTGCCACTCAGTTTTCAGGGCCTTAATTCCTTTTTAAGCGACTAAAATTGCAAAACATAATGAACATCTAATGAAAATCAAATATCAACGCAATTTAATGTAAAACAAAAAGCTCGATTCAAATTACATGAGATTAGAATTCAGTGTATTTTAAAGAAGAATGCATACAGAATCTAACTTTACATTAAAGTCAATTAAAACCGAACAAATCATGACACGAGGAGGTGAGTTAAAATGGAGTAAAATTGAAAATCAAATACAAATGCAAATCAAAGTAAAACACGATCCAAATTAGCTCAAATTTAAAATTGAATACATTGTAAAAAGAGAATGCACTACGGAATCTAGGTTGGAGTTAAAGTGGATTGAAATTGAAATCAACTTGAAAAGAGAGTGCGAAACAAAGCTAGTGGCAGCGGTCGGCCATGAGAAAATCTACTTTAGTTTGAAAGTAAATTCAAATTCTTCGCGTGGCCGAGCGCTGCCACTGCCAAACAAGCGCCCAGGCCTCCCAGCTAAATTACTCCCATAAACCCATGCGCGTGTAATTTGTTGGGGCGGTTCAAGATGGCAGAGTGGCGGGGGTATGCAGCAATGCAAAAGGCAAAGAGAAAAGGCAAGAAGCAGGAGAGGAGAGCGCAGAGATTATTGTACAGCGCATGAGTTCGGACGTTTCTGGAAAACAGCAGAAATATACAAGAATTGGGCCGCAGGAGTACGTGCCCTTTAATTTGAGCACGAAGAGTTGAGTATAGCGAACATCAAAGACGCCTGTATGACCTCTATGAAATACTTCAGGCCTCAGATCGAGAAAGATCTTATTTGCGACGTGCTGGCTGGCGAGTGCGGGCCATCTTGCGAAAAGATGGCCCACATTCCAAACCGAAAAGTTTTTTATGTGCCATTCATAAAACCCGACGGAGGAGAGGTTCTTTCTGACGAGGAAGGATCGCCGCAGTGCAAAAAGGTGAGAAATCACGAGGATAAGATTTCCGCACAGCGACATACATTTATTATTATGCATGCAGATATCTCATACTACAGTGAAACCTCTATTAAGCAGAGCCCTATTGAGCGAACACCAAGCCGGGTCCCGAAATGAACGTCTGATAAATTTCCTTTATAACGAACCCCTATTCAGCGCACACCGGCTCTATTAAGCGGACGCAAAAACTAAAATAAGTTGTATTGGGCTAATTTCTATTGTTAAAAACCTCTTTAAGCGGACACCGGACTGAATTGACAATAGTAGTATTGGATTACGTCCTTGAAATACGTACTGAAGTCAGTTAATGTCTTTGCATGAATTTACAAACAAATTAAAGTTGGTAACAGAAAGGTAATGAACTTGAAGTCTGGATAGCTTCTTTAACAACATGGAACTTTGTCACTGTACAGAGTAACCATTGAATGTTGATCGTTAACAAACATTGTGCAATTTTTACAACCTCTATTAAGCGGACACTTGGGAAGGTCCCGAAGGTGTCCGCTTAATAGAGGTTTCACTGTATTTCACACAAATGTTATATAGAATAGAGCAGAAACATGACTGTATGCATAATTCATGTATGGAGCTGTACGGAAACCTTAGTTACCATCATGAGGATTATTTGGATTATTTGCTCTTTGGATTTACAAATTCTATGGTTTAGTGCTATACACTCAAGACTTTCTAGATATTTTACATTTTTGGTTAAGTACATTAAGAACCAAATGTAAGACCTCAGGCTTCGGATCCCATAGAAAGACAGCACATAAGTTTAAATGAACTAGGAGAAGTTGAGTGATGTGCCTTTAGAGTTGTTAACATTAGCTCCAATATTTCTTGACGTTTTTCAGTGTCACTTACATGCATCATTCGCATTCCATACCCGTTTTCAGACCTGACATGTGAATGTTGTACCCAATTTGTGAACCCAGTACATTGTCCAAGTGAACCCACCATACTGTTTTTAAAAGCTTTTTTTTTCATTAGTTATTACTATTTGACACTGAATGTTCTTATCCATTTGGAGCTGACAAAACAAAATAATATGTCCAAACATTTTCTTGGGTAAAATTCTCTAGAAAACGATACCCTATTTCAGACCATAATGGAGAAAATCTGTGCCCGTTTTCAGACAAAAACAAATCAAAAACAATACTCTTTGGGCAGCACATACCTAAAGCTTATTTCAAAAAGGGGTTGGTTAACTCTCAAAGTTAATCTTGACCTCAGCATTGCAACTATGAAGAAACTTATCAAACCCATGCTGAAACCCTAGATCAATCCAATGGCGGATCCAGACCTTCAGATAAGGGGGGGCACCCTGGTCATCCAGACCATGAGATAATGGGGGGAGGGGGGCCTGGTGTCAAAGAAATTTGTTCGGCCCTTCGGGCCTCAGTTTGGCTTAAAAATAAGGGGGGCCCGGGCCCTTCCTTTGGATCTGCCACTGAATCTACCGACTGCAAATGATGCATGTACAGCCAAGTACATTAAAAGGCAGAAAAAGACATCAAGGAATAAGTTTGCTTCAGTTGATTTGTAGCTGACAGGCTAATGTTTGGCTCAGTGTCTTCATCTTGTCTAAATTTGATCTGACTTCTTTACTGTCTTGTAGCCAGTCCGTCTTTGTACTCTATGGGTATTCTTTTGATACATGTATGGTTACAAATTCTTCCCCTTGTAATCTTTGTTATACATAAGTAGTTTTGTTTTTAATTTTTGGATCTGATCCACAGCCAAAGAAAGCACGACCATCCAAGAGGACAAATACACAATCCCTGCCAGCTACCAAAGCCCAAAGCCCAAGTAAAGCCTTCCCAAAGAGTCTGTCAGTGTTAGGAATGATGAAACTTGGTAAAGTTATCAAAGAAAAGTCCACTGTCGGAATTGAGCTGTTCAAGTTTGATCTCACTGATATGGTGTCACGTCACTCACTGTTATGAAATATTAAACAATTACTGGATGAGATCTGACGATGATAAGAAGAATTATTGACGTGAATATTCCAAGTTTCGTCAGCACGAGCAAGTTACGAAAAATTTAACCTTGAATCAAAACAATCAGAAAAAAAAATATTACAATCAAAACATCTTTAATTGACCAACTGTCTTCTGGGAATGATAATAAACTGCACAGAACCAGTTGCTTAAGTTCCAATACTAAAATATCGATAAAAATGGGAACAAAACAGAGAATTGGAAATGAAAATTCTGATAGGGCTGCGGTTCCAACCTCGCTCCCAGGGTTCTCTCCTACCCGTCCCTACAGACTCTCGACGGGTAGGAGAGAGAACCTGGAAACGAGGTTGCTGGGGTTCAAGTTAGTTTTGTTCCCGTTTTCATTTTCCCGTTCCCCGTTTTAGTGACATCCCTAAAAAATCCTACCTTGATAACCTTTTTGGCCATGAAACTGGGGAATAGAAGTGGGCAACCTTTTCTGAGATACAGTACGTGTTTCCACCTCTTCTTCGGACGTATCTAGTTTAAGAAAATTATGACAACAATGTTTCTATTTGTCACTTTACAAACGGAGCCCGTTTCTCAAAAGGCCTAGTTGGTTCTTCGAGCCCAAAGGCAAATTTTTAAATAAAAATCTGTTGAATAGTAGAACACAAACCAGTCAATTTTGTTTCGTTAACTAATTGTTTCATTGAATCATTTTCAAAATTTTTGAAACTTTGATCTTTGAATGGCAAACATAAAGCATCTTTTCCGGCCCGTAAAGTTACCGGAACTTTCGAGAAACGAGTCCCTGGGCCGAGTTAACTAGAGCAAAAGACCTCTGGAATCGTTACTGGGCACGCACTGGTCAGCTATTGGCCAATTTTGTTCCCCTGTCCCCAGTTACAGTCTCAGAAGTCTTCGCGAAAGTTAACTTGTCCCAGTTTCCTTGTCGTGGCATGAGCTTTTCTGCAACGCAAATACAATAGATGTAATGAATTTCGACTCACAACAAGGTCACGTCAACACATGTTGTGAAGTGTTGCGACGATATGTTGTGACTACTTTGATTGATTTGCAAGGTAAATTCTGCTACCTCTGATCGCCTCCAGCTGCTGTGGACGAAAACTATCGATAAGGAGCGATACAAGGCGTTTGTTACCCAACCCAAACTTGAAAGAGACAGTTTTTAACACTGAGGCCTAGCAGCCCTGGTACAACATTTCGTCCTAATACTGCAAGTACGAAAAGGCCAAGACTTCAAGTGGAACATTGGGTGCAATCTAAATGGACATACGCAATGGCTAAACAGGATCGAGTGTTCATCCCTACTATAATTGTATTATTGCAATATTAGGCGAAATGGTGGAATCTACCTCTATTGATAAACTGCGGTCATGATACTGAGTAATAACAAAACACAAATTCAAATAATTAAGGCTTTCAAATTTTAGGAAATCATTTTTTTATCATATCCGCCCCACCTTTGATTGAGGAATCCTCGCTGCCGCTCGAGAACCACCTTTTGAGTTCAGGAAGCGGAAGAAGTTCATCCAGTTGGCTCTCTGTACAGTACTCGCAAGATCCATCTGGCGCAACGGTCAGAAGACACAAACAGCGCTCCTTGTGGCAAGGGAATTCGCCATGATTATCACATGGTTTTTGCACTTTCAGGCAGTAAGGACAGTTAACACACAGTTCGTAAGCTACCTTTTTAAACCAGGGAAGTGTCTCTGGCATATTTTGCATCATCTCATTCAAAGATGTTCGTACCAAAATCGGTGTTTCTTTTCCTGATACCGGCTCACATGTAGATCCATCGTTTTGTCTTATTTGCTTCAAAACGATCTTGATGAATCTCTTCTTGCACACAAGCATCATGTAGTGAGTGAGCTCCTTCCCAATGAAAAACAGAGATGCCCCATCGTACAATTTAGGGGGTTTCTTGAATCCCCTCGTAGAGCACCATTCGGTGCATCGTGACACAAGCTGTAAATAAAGACCATGAGGCACGTAGCCCATTCCCTGAAAGTCAAGGTACAGTGGACATGGATCTCCAGGCGATGGCTCCTTTATGCAGAGGATGTCAGGAGGTGACCTTAGTTGGCATGGTACAAAATATTTTTTTTCTGTTGGTGACAGGGCGAATTGCACGATCAATCCAAACTTCATCATCATTTCAAGGATATCCTCCTTGACTACTCCTTGCTGACAAAACTCGGAAAACACGTGTTCAACAAGTTCCATGTTGAGAACACCCGTTTTCTCCATTTCTTTCCACAATCTACAATACCTTGGTTCCTGGAAAACAATGACAAAGAAAAATAAAACACATACGTGAAGCAGTGATGATACTAAGGGAGGATACGCTAGAGAAGAAAACGTTTTCTGGCAACAAGATACAGTGAAGATACAGTGACACTCGCGGGGAATGCTATAGTATCCGCTTCATACAGGTTTAGATAGACAATGTCATGTTAGGAGTGAAATACCATTCAAATGAATGGTGGAAACGTTTGGAATACTCCTGGAGACTCGCAGTACGACAATATATGTTTGCATTAATATCTACATGTGAGCGAACCAATTAATCAAAATACTTTACACGAAGACTGTACCTCAAATTTTAGAGGATCAAATGAGTGAAATAAGCTCTATACAAACAAAACAAAATGAGAATACAGTGTTGTAAAAGACTTTGCCTACTTAGTAGAGGGTGTCCGCTTAATCCAAGTTGAACTGTAAGATTCAGAGTTTTATAGTGAGCTTTGTTTTGAGGACCATGGCACCAACAAGCTAGGTAGGCCGCTGATAGAAGAATAATTGAACAAGTCAGTCCAGCACTAACATAACACAATAAGCGACTCCAACACACACTAGGACTAGTCAGATCGTATTCTAAGTCAGAGCCACACTGTTGTTTGAGGGCGTGGAAATGCAACTGATGTTTTCTTCTTACCATGTCATCAAAACAGCGAACAGTTATGAGTTGCTTGAACAGTTTAATAAGCCATTCAGCCCGAAGTATAACTGTGTTGCCGTGTTTGACAATCACGCCGAGGTCATGATAGAAATTCAACATAGTGGCAACCTCATCCTTGTTTTCAATGAAGCAATATTTCTGGATAATGGTCTGAAGTTCTTCCATGTTTAAATAGTACACTTTCTTGGCAACCAAAGTTTTGACAACCTTCTCGAAGTTGAACCATCTGAAAAGGAAAGTGGTTTTTAAACTTTATAAGGCATAATAAGGTAAATGGAAGGCGGGATAGCTATTTTGATAAGCCATTAAAATTACGTTTACTTTTTAAACTCATTTTTTAATAAATCAACAACGAAACAAGGTAAGGCATTCATCTTTTTATTTGAAAAAAAATTTGGACAAGTGCGTTCTCCTTGAATTAAGACGAATTTGATAGGCCCTATCAAATGAAACACCTGCACATTGACCGTACTCCACATGAGTCTCGGCTACATGTTGTGCTTTATGGACACTTCACAGAAGGTTTATTATTATTATTATTATTATTATTATTATTATTTTTATTAATATTACTATTATTTATTTCACGCTTCCTTGTGTTTTAGAAATCACTGACAAGCAAAAGTACAACATCGAGGCACCACACTATATTTTCTTTTTATGAGGCATTAATTGCAGATATGTACGCCGCACTTCAGAAAGCATCAACTGCGTTATTTAAGAAACACTCGAATTTTAAAATTTTCCAGGAAGGATATCATTTGGTGTTCCTACAAGAAAATTACATTTAATACTTTGTACAGACTGATTCTAGGCTGACTGATTCTATGTTTGAGGAAATTGACTAGACATTAATTTTAGATTTATTTATCATCATTTATCATCTTTGTTCTTTACGTGGAAGAGGCAGAGGGGAAGGCTCGTCCCAAATAATAAGGACTACAATGGACGAAGTAAAAAAAACTTCTAATGAAGTGTAGTGGTGTAAGCGACGGGGGAGTCATTATAATATTTAAGGAAATACACATCAAATCCCACCTGCCATTCCTACAACATAAAACGATGACTACTCGCTTAACTATTACCTATCTCGTATAACAGACATTTACGGTAACTTCGTTTTAGTTTACACAATGTACTCTTAAAAGAACTTCACAGGTTCCAGTTGCACCAGTACATGATAGGTATTAGCGTTATCTTGGAGATGATAACATAACAACAACCCTAGGGACTGCAAACTCACCGAATCGGTATTTCCTCTCCCATGTATGGTTCTTGTTTCAAAACTTCAATCACGCGTTTCTGGAGCGCACTAACTCCCCTATCAGATGATCCTTGAGTATTGTCAACCGAGAAGATGGGGCGGATTACATGTTCACTGTTTTCACATATTTCCGTTTTAATCTGCAACTCGATCTTGTCGATGTCTTCCTGATGCTGTTTATCCGCATGTGTTCCCACAATGAACACTGGAGGGCGACAGTGACGCTGATTTTTCACTGCCTTTTCTGATTCTGATGAACAAATGCTGCTGACTGAAACCAGCCAAGACAACAAATTTTCCACATTCGTTTCCTTATTTGGGTTAGGGAGAGGAATTTTCCGATTTCCCTGTTTAAAATAAGGTTGAGCTGGGTCGTTTAATCCTTTGCTGAGATCGTAAACCAACATGTAAACTGCTCGTGGCGATAAAAAAACTGGGTAAGACGCATAGTACAGCTGTTGACCAGCAAAGTCCCACAGATCAAGGATCATGTGATGTTCAACTGTTGTTGCATCAGTCTGAAGGTTTAGACCTTTCAAAAGTTGATCAAGATAATCCGTAAATTCGTCTGGGGGCGAAGTAGGGTCGATGTTTAATTCAACGACTGGGGCTTCTGCTTTTGTCTCTTTACTGGCATTCCTGGATGTGTCCTAAATTGTTTGAAGTGTTTAAGTTGGTTAACACGTACCTTTTGGGCAATTAGGACAAAATATGTACATAGGGGCGTTTTGCAAGTGGCAATCTTTTCATTTAGTTTGTCTCTTAGAACAAAGGGCCGATATTCTACACGAGGTATTTCAACATCAATATCTGCTAGTACCAACTGTACTTCAACTGTCTTCCCAAGTGAATCTTTCCCTGATAAAAGCAGTATTTCCAGTTTTTAAGCATGTATATAATTTCAAGCCACGCTTCAAGAGACCGCGCCAGATGGACAATTGGAAATAAGCAAAGCGCGAGGTACCCTTGGCAAGGTAAGACTGATGGACGAAGAGTTAAAACTAAGTGAGGGTTACACTTTGTAATTCATTATACTATTCATAAACAGTAAATAAACAGGGAATATAAAGCTCTAAATAGGCAAATAATAGCCACTAGGGGTGGAGCACTGACCTGTAGTGTTAACAGATAAGCACAAGATCCACTCTTAATAGACATTAATTTGGAAAAGGTTAGCTCCTATTTATAGTCACCAAACTTTCCATAATAACATGTCAAAATTTAAAGTCAAGTGGTAGTTAAGAAGTTAGCGAGTTGCTTTTAAGGTACTCGCTTTGTAAATACACCCGGGTACATATTTGTACTTGCAAAAAAACGACGTTTATTGTACAGCAGACCATAAGCGAATGAAATTCATGTGCTTGGAGTTAGCCAGAAAAAATAACACTATTCACCAAAATCTTTAACGTACACTATACGTACGCTCATTAAGTTTTTGCTTTAAAGAAAAGCCACATTCTGTCACACACAACTTGGTTTTTCCCCTTCTTTTACTCCAAGGATAAAGAAAGTTTTTAGGAAATAGGTTTTTAAGAGACGACTCACAATCTTGACAACTCCCACTGTCCTTTCGCCTTAGTGTAATGGGACAGTGAGGACGCCTTGGTACAATAAAGCCTAATCTGCAATGATCAAACCTTAAAGTCAGAAGAGGAGAGAGACGGTCCTACTGAAAACCGCTTTTCGAAAAATACCACCAAAAAACAGAAAACTGGATCTGCAACAACGTTAAATTTTTCTTTTTCTTTTACATTCCAGTTAGCTAACGACATACTATAGTAATCATTTTTCCGTTATCTTCTCATAAAGCCTAGCCAAATTTAAAATTGAAACCTGGGCTGGTGTGTGTAAAAACTTTACTTTCTTGAATTCGTTTGACAGAAGGTCATAATGAATTAAGGTTTAGAGTATTTAAGGCTTCAACCAGAGAAACGCTGTTATATTTACCTGATTCATTTGAGAGTTAACCACTGGTGGCTTTGACAATCGAGGTTCTCCAGGAGAGTTAAGACCGGACTACAAGTTTTGATAAAAATAAATACATTAGTCAGGTTGACAACATAGAAACACGATAAACTAAACAGATTACTGACAAATTGCTTTTTTCACATACATGTATATGTTGTGGTTCAATAGGTCATTTCCAAGTTTCCCCAGGCCTCTGTATCATAACGAGGTTAAGTGCTCAGCCTTTGATATGGAAATGATTTTTCATTCTCATGCAAATAAAACTCATTTCCTCACTGAGGAAATGAGTTTTGACAGGTTGTGCACTTAGCCTCATTTTCAAAGTGAGGGTTTTTGGAACTCGGAAGTGGCCTATTTTATCCTTGTTTTAAATATTATCCCTTTGTCTTTGGGTATGGTAATGTATGACAATGATTTTAAAACAAAGGGAAATAAAATTAAAACCAAGAATAAAATTGAACCACTAATTGAATCCAATAATTGTGTCTGATGATTGCTATTCTAGTCCACAGCAGGTTATTTGCAAGTGGATGAAAATAACCACGCAAGCTAGTAAATTTTCCAGCCTGTGTAGCTGGCAGGATTGTTATGCCCGGAGTACTTTCTTGCTGCCTCGTAGAAGCTCGTGGGAGAAACCTCGAGGGCAATCCCAACCTTCTCGCCAAAAAACTAGAACACTCGCCAGCTACGTAGACCAGTGAATTTTTTATCATGTAGTCTGTTAAGGTATGAGGATTTTCTTTTTGTTCTTTGTTTTTTTTTGTATTCCTGGTTTCATTTTTTTGTATTTTAATTTAGGGTTGTTTTTCTGTCACCAACCTGACCCATTTTTGTCTGTTTGTTTGTATCTTCATCAGGATCATCCTGCTTTGATTTGTAGTCATCCAGCTTTGATTTTTGTTCTCTTTGTTTTCCTCTTGCTTTCTCGTAGTCGTCGTCACCGTCCTCTTCATCATCTTCTTGTGAAACTTCTTCGTCTTTATCTCGTTCCTGTATTTCTTTAGCCACCATTTTTGCAAGATCAAGGGCAAATTGAGACACACTTAGCTTTTTATCGGTGACTTTCCAGTTCTTTACTTGATCGATGTCGACTTCGAATTTTGATGGGTCAACTTCAATTCCATCAGTGCTGTCTTCCTCAGGGTTAAATGGTAGACCTAAGAATGACTTTTTTAAGCTTGTCTTGCCCGCTCGATCTTGACCGATCAGCATGATTCGAGCACGGTAGACCTTCACCTTTCCAGTCTTCAAGGCATTTCCATAAGCAAGCTTCGCTTCTGGTCCTTGTGCTTTGATCTCTCTCGGAACTAAATACGAAAACATTTGATGCAGTTTCAAGTCCAAGGGATACGGATGTCCACTTTTCTTACCATCTTTTTATTGTTTGTTGTTGTGACTATTGCATAAAAAGGTTAGGGGAAAACACAAAAAAAGGAAGATTATTGTAGGGACATACGCTGTTTTAGCAGATGTTTTTCTTGACATTCGTTTAGATCCAATATCCAAGATTTTCCCATATTAAAGTATCCGTAAGCGAAATCCCTCAAAAGAGTTGAAGCAGGTCTTAGGGACGGACGATTAGAAACGTAAACGTTATGGTGGGGAGGGGGTGGATTGGGCGAAGTAAAAAGCACTCGTGGAAAGGAAAAATTTCGCAGATTAGCCTTGAAAAGAATTCCTGCATCGACCTACAAGTCTTTACAATCCGCCCCAATTTCAGGGTGAAAAACGTGTAAGGTGAACAAGATTTCTTCTTTCATGGCCTCCTCTGTACAGAGCGGATTTTCTTCAAAACAACATTTTAAAACGGACAATTTTTGGACGACGCTACTGTGAAACAGTTCGCTCCCTAGTACAGCGTGGTGTCTACTAACAATTATAGATGAGTTGCAGAAATCAAAGGATATTACGACACGATCTCACTCCTTGGATTTCCTCATCACTGAAAGTGAAATTCGCACTGCAGCTGGAAAACTCAAAAACAACAAATCTTCTTTTTCAGACAAAATCAAAAACGAAATGATCAAATCTAGCCTAAACGAATTAATGCCTGTTTATCTAAAACTATTTAACACGGTCCTCGACTTAGGAAATATGCCCCAATTGTGGTGTGATGGCCTCATTACACCAATTTTTAAATGTGGTACTAAAAGCGATCCATCAAACTACCGTGGAATTTGTATTTCCAGTTGTATTGGAAAACTATTTTGTTCAATTCTCAATCAGAGACTTGTAAGGCACGTTGACTTAAATAATATATACTTCACAAGTCTCAAATTGGTTTTCTAGCAAATAATAGAACAGCAGATCATGTCCTCACACTGCGAACATTAATAGACAAATATGTCCATTGTCACAAGGAGAAAATATATGCGTATTTTGTTGACTTTAAGAAAGCCTTTGATTCGGTTTGGCATGATGGGCTACTCTATAAGTTATCTAAGATCAATGTCCAAGGAAAGTTTTATAGTCTAATTAAGAGTCTATACTCGAAGTCTACCTGCTCTGTCGGGATTGGAAATAACAAAACGCGATCTTTTCAATACGTAAGAGGAGTGCGGCAAGGCTGCATTTTAAGCCCTCTGGTCTTTAACTTATACCTTAACGATCTAGCGTTCTCATTTGACAATGTTTTATCAGACCCCTTCGTGTTACCAAATGGCACAAGACTCAACTCTCTCCTTTACGCAGGTGACTTGATAATATTATCGCGATCCAAACTTGGTCTACAAAACTGCCTTAACGTACTATCTTCATATCGCAACTCATGGATGCTTAGAATAAATCCTAAGAAAACCAAAATAATGATTTTTCAAAGATGCACTCGAAAATGTGAACATAACTTCCGCATAGGCAGTGAAGTAATCGACGTTGTCCAAAACTATACTTACTTAGGAACTCGAATTACATCTTCCGGAAATTTTACACTTTCGCTTGAACATCTCCGACAAAAAGCTCTTCACGCGCTCTTCAGCCTCAGGCGACACACGGATTTGAATAGTCTTAAGCCCTCACTTGCGTGTAAAATTTTTGACTCTATGATTTCACCAATTCTAACCTACAACAGTGAAGTTTGGGATGCTCTGCAATTGAAAAACCCATTTGCAATTCTGTAAACGTTATTTACAAGTACATAACAAGGCATCCAACATTGCTTGTAGTGCTGAACTCAGTAAGTTTCCCATGATCATTGATATAAATAAAAAGATTCTAAATTACTTAGACTATCTGAGAGGTAAAGATGAAGATTCTATAGTTAAACAGGCCTTACAAATTTCAATTTAGCTTCATCATAACGGAAAAACTAGCTTTTACTCTAATCTCATGAAAATGGTTGACTACTATGATCTAAACTATGACTTTTCCTGTAATTCATTGAGTGACTCAATAGTTAATAGGTATATCGGCATAATGAAAAATAAATACGTCTTTTACTGGAATCAGACCCTTCAACAATCACAAAAACTCAGTTTTTATTGTACAATCAAAGACGACTATAGCCCCTCGCCGTACCTAGTTTTAACAAGAAAAGACCCTTCGAGAAAAGCATTAGTTAGATTTAGAATAAGTAGTCATCAACTTAGAATTGAAACAGGTAGATACGAAAACATTCCTCGCAATGAAAGGATATGTCAGTTTTGTACAAGTAACAAAATCGAAGATGAAAATCATTTCTTACTAGATTGTAAGGCTTATTCTCAGATCAGAGACATATTTTTCGCCAAACTAGAAACTAAAATACCTGACTTCAAATCACTTTCACACGATACTTTAATATCTCTTCTTATGAATTCTTCTGATTATTTAATTAACTGTCAATTAGTTTCATTTATCTCGCAATGCTTTGAATTAAGAACCAAATTAATATCAATGAATGAATGAATGAGAACTGTAACGTTTTGTAATGTTTTGCACGTACTAATTAGTTGAATTAGTACTTAAATTTAGACTAATAGCTTTTGCAATACTGTAATTCCTTTATGGTCATGCAAATAACGCATTTGGTGTTGTTGTTGTTGTTGAGTCTATCGCCACCCACAGGGCCTCAGTACCGCAGCCTTGTTTCCTGCTTCTGGGAGTTTATAAACAAGGAAAGAACAACAATTACCTGTTTGTGGTTTTCAAATCGATTTTCCATTAGAAAACGCCGTATCCCAAACAAAATTATTGTTCGCCATTTGTACATCTCCAAAAATTTTGCATAAGTATTGTCTTCAATTTCTACCTAAGAGAATTTAAAAAAAGTTATGCCAAATTTTAGGGGGCAAACAGGGTTTATTATGGGTAACCTGAGATCAGGCCCAAATTTAGCAGGTTCTATACATTCTGAGTCTCTTACGTGGTCCCGCTTCGCGTTTCCCGCCAGCAGGCCAAAATTTTCGAAGCAAAAATAGAGCCTGATGTCAGGTTATATTATGGGAGATGTGCAAATGGCGAACGGACGCAGATCTATTTGATGATTTAATGATGATAATTTAATCAAAGCCCCACCCAGGATGTTAGAAATTTCATTTCCGAGGATCTATTTTGAAAGGGGTCTCACAGGAAGCCTCCACTTATCGGGAAAAAAATTGCTGCAATTGTTGTGTCTTGCCATCACAGGTATCTGCATGTAAAAAAAAAACTTTTACGGTATGTTATCTGTGATTTTGAACATTTTTTGAATTAAAAATGAAATGGCATGTATATGTCCAAACAGAATTCGTGCCAAGGATTTCACCAAAAAAAGAAAACTATATACAGTTACTTGACCTTACTTGGCCAAAATAAAATTCGTGCAATAAAAAACCCCAACTCCCAATTACTTTTCTAATGGTCCGCCCCTTGCTAACATTTAAGCCACAGAAATCACTAGAAGAAATCAACTTAAACACTTTACAATCACCTTTATCGTAAGTGTTTTTCGAATATTGAATAATGACGTAATGTTTTTGGAAAAAGATATTAGCCCATACATTTTTGCATGATACAAAAACCATCTTTGAAACGAAAACTAAAATCTAAATGATTTGTTTCTTGTCTCACTGCTTTTTTTGCTCTCCAGCAAGGGTCTCTTTTAACCATGTTACTGAGTTACAATCTTTTTTAAAAGAATCACGAATGTTTTTTCCCGGCGCAAGCAGAATATTCTTATTTTTCGCTGATGTTAGCCTGAAAATACTCTTGTGAATATTAATGTCTTGAATAGTTCAAATTTTATTCATCAGCTTCTTACAAAAAACAATAATTATTTGATAAGCAGTAACTACGAAGAAGGAGACGTCTGCTCAATTGTAAGGTGGCATTAATTTCTGTTGTATGTTAGGATTGCATGGATTTAAGTGAACGTTAACACTTCAGCGTACCTTTATCTCTCCGCCGCACTTTGTGCTTTTCAAGGTTCTTTCTCTTTCGTGAAGACTCTCCAACGACTAATAAGTTATAAAAAAAACAACAGATAATTTAATTTTGTGTTCATCAGTTTCTAAAAATATAACAATTATTGTTTGATTAACAGTAACTACTAAGACGTCAGACATCTACTCAAGCGTAAGGTGGTATGAAAGGGCGGCGCACTGGAAAGATTGCTATTGGCTATTGGCTATGAAGACACGAAATGTCATTGGTGCGTTTCGATCAGTCCTTTGGCACAGCTTAAGGCAGTCGTTTAATAGTTGTCGGTTGTCGAGTCATTCTGTCGTTGTTAGGTTTGCTTGAGTCCGCCAATAAGTCGTTTGTACGATGACGGTTACAGTTGACTACGATTCTAAGTTAGTAAACCAGCTTCCTAAAGTGAGTCGTTGGTATGTGTCTAAAGAATACTTAGAACGTCGCAGAGTGCCAGTCGATTTGTTGGTGTTTCGTCAGTAAATGGTGCTCAGCAATCTAATTATTGACAACACCATTTCTTGTCACTCGGAATGCGGGAAAGGTCTACAGAAAACGTCAGAATACAGTTTAGTAGAGAGCCAAGTCGACTCATAAAACATGAATACCAGGCTAACAGGAGCGCATTTTGCATGCGCATGCGTGCATCCGCTCTAACGACAATAGCGTTGGCGCATCAAATCTGATGGCGGGAAATAAAAAACTCGCGTAAAGTTACGGTCCTTTTAAAAGGCATTTCGTTGGTGCTTTGAATACCGTACTTTCCTACAAAAAATGTTCTCCACGACAAAAATCGGACGTTTTCTATAAGCGCGATTTCTCAGCAGTTGGTTTTCTTGACCTTTTAAAGACTTTAAAGACTCAACGCCAAAAATCACTGTTCCTGTATAGGTCTGATTTTGACTGGCAAAGCAATGCATTTCTATGGTTTGATTTCCAAACTCATGGTTTTACTT